AAGCTGCCTGCCAAGCATTTTCCCTGTTTGGTTTTTATAAGATGTACTTTATCCAGTCACTTCTCTGGAGTCCTTTATGAAGGTAGTGTAGGCCTTTGTCTGGAACACAGAGTTTTTTTAACAATAATATTCGCATAGCCAATTATGTATTTCTAGGATCTTATTTCCTCTTTGTGACATTATTTTTGCTTGTTCACTGGAAAGATAACAATCCAGTCCCCTTGGCTTGTGTGATCTATGGAAAAGCACCTTGCACATGTTACATCTTAAATTACTTTAATATGTCCTAGTTTCCTAGCTGGAACTTGAATTTCCAAAAAACATTAGTACAAAATGCAGTTCCTCCCCCCCTCCTCCTCCTCCCCCCCCCCAAAAAAAAATATAAAATCCTACACTTCTGAATGGCATCAAACCAACCATTGGAAAAGCTCTATCCAGGCCTAGCTTTATTTGTATTTCAGAAGACAGAAGCAACAGAGAATTATCAGAGAAACAAAATACAAAGCAATGATGCTTCGTATAATTAAAGGAGTGGGATGTAAATCTTTTTAGCTTCATGATATCTGATTTAGGAAAGGTAATGAAAGCAAATTCACATCTCAGTCAGTTACAGTGGCATCTGGTAGGGAGGGACAAGGGAAGCCAGGGTGATGACAGCAGCATTGTGGCATCAAAGCAAGTCCCACTTCTTCTCTCTTTAAGTCATAGATGTTGCACATAGATGTAAGCCCAAAAGGGCAGAGATTTTCATCTTGCCTGTACCTGCAACAGCTTGAAATGTTGCAGATGAGTTGTCCTTTAAGAGGTTTTAAAGGAGGATGGGCACGTTTGTGGTAGGTAAAGCTATCAATGCTACCTCCAAGTTCAAAGGTGAGAGAAACCTGCTGCCTTCATGGGCATCCTAGGATTTTCTGATTGACCTGTGGATGAAAGAGGTTTCAGAGGATGCTCCAAGTCCTACAACTTTCAGAAGTGGTCAATGTGGGATATGAACCAAGCAATGGCAGCAGTCTCCAAAATCCTGGGCTTGAATCAGTAATTCTGTGGAGCTCTATGTCTATCATCTCTGGTGAGTATAGGAAGTCCCACAGTGAAAGCCATTTGAGCAGCATTGTTAAATTACTCCTCTGCCTGAAACAGAGATGTGCGGGTGGAAAATGGTTACAAGTACAAAGTGTTGAAATGTATCTCAGCTAAATCTTTCTGGTAATGCCACTCTCAAACAAAAGTTTGGGTGATTTATTTGACAGGAGTCTACCTGGAGCTGAAACACTTTCATTTATTTTCTAGTAAGGAACAGTGACATCTGTGTTAAGACCACAAAGACAGCAGTTTGCTGTATTTCTGATTTTGTTAATCTATTATCCAGGTGGATTAACATTATGAATGTATACAGCAACACCTTTTGGTACCAGCTGCAGTATGCAACAGCTGTATCACAGAAAGAGCCTTTCATATTGCAGTGTGGCATCCATTTATAGTTTTGTACAAGAGATGGTTCTTCACACATGTCTGTAACTTTTAAGCATGCAGCCATTTGAAAACTAAATGAATACCCACTGCAGCTGGATCTGAATGGAGGGCGTCTTTATTTCTCACAGATTTCAGTCAATGTACGACAAAATTCTGGGTGAGCATTGATTTCACCCACTGTAAAGTGCTTTATTCAGTCTTGATTGTGTGCTATTGTCTGTTTTGGAAAATTGCAGTGGGTAATTTCTACTTCTAGTGATTTCTAGCCAATCCCTATATCCAGATCAGAGAAGGCATAGATTCCACTTAGTTCAGGTAGCAAAACTATAACTTGATTTTTATTTATTAAACATCAGGAAAACAGTAGAACAGGGAGAGAGAGAGAGAGAGAGAGAGAGAGAGAGAGAGAGAGAGAGAGAATAAGTGAGCAAGCAAGAGATGATCAGCAAGCAATGTATATTTATCTATATATCAAAAGGCACAGAACTTTCCAGAACCATTGAAAACAATAGTGTGGGAAATCAGCATGGACAGTCCCAAAGGAGTGGTTTTTGTTTATTCCATATTTAAATATTTTATATACAGAGAAATAGCAGAATAGAGAAGGAAATTAGACACAAAGTGTTCCTTCCTCTATTCTGCTCCTTGAAGGAACAATTTGATGGGTGAGAGATGATGCATCCAACAGCCTGAACTAGCAGCCCATTTTTCACTTGAAATATTGTTCCTCTAACCTGCTTTTTAAAACATCTAAATGTTTACATGTGTTTTCCTGATAGATACTATTATTTTCTGTTTCAATGTATTTTTCATTATTATTCATTTTATTGACAAAGAACTGAAATGGATTAATCCAAGATCACCCAGAGATCCACATGAGTTGGATGAAATATCAGAGCTCGGGTCCAATGCTCAACCATAATTCTTTAAACTAATTTAGACAAATCCTTGGGCAATGGATTTACCTAAATTGGCTTCTCCACCATGGTGTCCTCTAGATATACTGGGACTTCAGATTCATGAATATTTAGCAATCTGGCTGAGTATGATGGACGTTGGGTGAATTGTCTTCCATTTTAAACCTTGTTCAATGCGCTGCTTATATTATTACTCTATTAAAAGTTCACTCAGGTTTTTTTAAATTGAAAATTGCTGATGAGGTAAGAAGGATTTATGCTCACATTGACCCTAACCAATCAGTGCAATAGCCTCCAGGCTTATAGTGAGATCAATATCCTGCTGATTGTCCAGATTATTACAAATCAGTATCTTGTAGTAGCCATACTATTCAAATATGTATGACTGTCTACAGTTCTTACCCAGATTCCATTAGCATTGGGATAGGTTATTAATAATGTAAAATAACTAAACAGAGAAATGAATCCAGCAAGTAAGCAAGCAAGCTCAGAATGGGAATTGTTATATTCTTCAGCTGGCTGTATGGGCACTATCCATTTGACATCTTCAGCTTTTGATTAACAAAACAGTTAACTGTGGATGGATGCACTATGAAATTGATATATAACTTGAAAACTATAGTCAAAGAATGCTCACTAAAGGTTCTTCATCAAACCAGTGGGAGGCACTGAGATTCAATTCTGGGTCCTTTGCTCTTCTACACAATTCTGTTAATGACTTGGATGAAAGAGGTGGAGGAAACAATTATCAAATTTGTAAATGACACTAGGTAGTGTTGGATAGCTGATATCCTAGAAGACAGAAATAAACCTTGGTAAGTTAGTAAAATGGCCTGAAAAAAGCAGGAAGAAATTTGAGTCAAATGATATACTGTACTTAAGAAATAGGAACTAGACAGAGATAGAATAGACTTCAGTGCTTCAGTGGCTTCTTCTAATTCTATGACTTTGATTTCCTTCTAGACTCTTTAACAACCTACCCAGGCACTCAGGTCCAAAGCAGTTTTTTATGAATTTCATAAAAAAGTGTTTTGGGTTTTTGTTTTTGTTTTACAAATGTTCTTTGTCAATGTCCATTGATTATCAGAATAAGAATCCTTCTGTAGTGTGTCATTTGCTTTGCCAGGGTTCTTATGTCTGCTGAATGGCAGCATGTTATATGCATTTCTTCTTGGTTTAATGGGATAGCTCTTTGCTCAAAATAGCTGGTCCATACTAATGCCTCCATTGGCTTTAAAAATCTATATGCGCTTAAGTTTTGCTATTTAGCAAACTCTGGATGTCAGTCCCATGATGGGTGGTGGGTAGGATTCTGGTTTGGAATTTGTCATTGTGTGACAGAAGAGGTCTTACACGAGCCATTTCTAGTTGAATGTTTCTTTTTAATTGCTCTAGGGAAATACTATGTGTCATATTCCGATATTGAAATGATAAGCTCTTTTTAATCGCTTGATTGGAGTTAATGAAAATAAGGAACCAACTGCATGATATGGACATAAAATTAGAGTTTTTACAATGGCTTCTTTCTTAGTGTGTTGCATGATGCAGCTCTGAGAAGGTTTCAGTGCCACATATGTATTTGAATACATGATATGCCAAAAGTTTGTTCTGCAATGGAAGAAACTAAACACACAACTTCAGCAAGAAAAGACTTTACAAAGGACTTGAGAACTTAGTGTGTTTGAATATATTTAATTGTTATAGATTTCACCAGAAGGACTAAGCTTCATTGCCTCTTATTGAAATCAGGGATATTTTGCCTTGGCCACTCATGGAGAAAGAAGTTCCTCAGTATCCAGGCAGCATTCCCCTCATATAAACTAGTTTGTCAAAAACATTTTGTAAGGAAACCCTAAGATACTTTTGAGTTCATCAAATCATAATATCCCACTTGTTTGTATGAAGATGGATTCGGAAGTCATAGCATAACATAGTAATATTCTGTTATCTTGCCATGTGGTACCTGCATTCATATAAGGATCCTAGTTGTGCTCAGTGACTGGTCAGTAAGCATGATTGTTTTTTCTCTCAAAAGTACTAGGTAAGTGGCATGAGACAGCTTCACTATGTGGTTTGTTGCTGTTGATGAGTTATTCCCAGTATGATTGCAGGTACAGTGTAATGGTGCTTCATGACCCAAATCACTTTAACTGATGCTGGCTGAAGATTCGTGAGAAATGATGATGATTCATTTCTCTGAGAATTTTCAATTTTCAATTTATGTTCATGTTTAAACTCCTCCTGCAGCTGCAGACATACATTGTCGATTTCAGGCCAGATTGATCTTTTCCTGGTTATGCTTATTTTTCCGTATCATGTAAATCTGAAATCTAATTGGGCTTTTTCAGTGTCCTGCAACTTGGCTGAAATGCCAAAGAAATGTGATTGGTTCTCACGCTTAACAAGCGGGTAATGGCCCCAAGCCACTAGAGGGATTCATTGCTTTACAAAGCATGAGTCATAATATTTAAAATTCAGAGTGCCATTCCAGGCTTCAAAGCTTCTCTCTCTGATTAATAGCTCTAGAGGTTACTCCATTACCAGAAAAGTAAAAAAGAAAAGCCATTCATTTTCATCTTACAGGCTTGGTCCTTTTCTTCTCCCTTTCAGACCAATCTGACGGAACTGAAGACATTTGCATCGCCACCGCCTGCTGTCAGCAATGTTACTGCCGCCGTGATGGTACTCATGGCTTCAGGTGGTAAGGTCCCCAAGGACAGGAGCTGGAAAGCAGCTAAGATGGCCATGAACAAGGTTGACAGCTTCCTAGACTCTTTGATTCACTTCAACAAAGAGAATATACATGAGAACAGCCTCCGAGCCTTGCAACCTTATCTTCAGGATACAACCTTCAGCCCAGAACTGGTGGCATCCAAGTCCTATGCAGCTGCTGGGCTCTGCTCTTGGGTCATCAACATTGTGCGCTTTTACAACGTGTACTGTGATGTCGAGCCCAAGCGTCAGGCTCTCCACAAAGCCAATGCTGAGCTTGCTAATGCCCAGGAAAAGCTGGCTAATATCAAGGCCAAAATTGCAGTAAGTCTGAATTCAAAAAAGCAACCTGGGAAACAAATTGAAATCAGCATTGCCTCTTGAAATTCTTGGCATCAGTTACACTCTAGCGCTTCAAACATGGGCTTCTTGCATAAGTAGCCACTGTAGGAAATCATCCTGCATTTTGCCTAAAGAGAGTTCCATGGCTTATTTTAAAACGGTACCTGTAGTAATTTTTAAAAATAATATTTATTTTTTAAAATTATTGTGCAGTAATCACTATGTAAGTTGCAGCATGAAGAGCAATTTGGTGAGCAATCCCAAGTCTAGGTGATTGATTATTTAATGATACTTAAGGTTTTGCTGTAAGTTTTTTGGAAATTATTACTATAGTATTTGTAGTTAAGATGTATGTTAGAGAAGGGAAAATCATTAAATATTTTCACAGAGTTTGTTACTACTTTTGTTAGTTTTGTGAGTGGGACTCTATCATTTACACTTTACTTTTTTTAAAAAAAGTACTTTTTTTAAAAAAAATTAAGTCTATGTATTATAAACATATAAACATAGACTTAGTGACTCTAAGAATTGCATGACAGACTGAAACCAATATACCTGTCCCTATTATGTGTGATAGTAGGCTGTCTACTAGGCTGTTTACTTGTCAAGTAGGCTAAGCAAAGCATTTGTGGCTGAATTTCAGCAGAATTGAAGTCCTTGGTAGAACAGATCCTCCTTCCCCCCTTCCCCTCCCCCTCAACTGAATCTTCCATTCAAATTCCCAAATCTGGTGCAGGAGATTAGAATTCCCTCTGAAGCAGCTGCTGGGAATGTGATGGGGTACTAAGGAAAGGTTAGGGAGAGACCATCATTTGTATAAGAACACAAGTCCTTTCATGGGGTGCAAAAGTACCTCTTTCACAAATAAAGTTCCTGCTTGAAGAAATCAGAAATTTCTTCAAGTTTTAAGACAGAGCTAATTTAAATGGTATGCGGGAGGAAGGGAAGAAGACCATTTAATTTATAGAAATTGTAGCTTGGGATTTTAGGAACAATTCTGTTCATATATCTAGTCATTCCAAATGCTACTAACAAATTAGGTACCCTTTTCAAATTGAGGTTTATTTCTCAAGTATTGTTCAAGCAGTATTAAAATGATTTAGAGGCACTTAACTTTAAGCTATTGGTGTGAATGCTGATAAAAATCAATTGTTAACTTCTTTTATCACAGAAGTAAAAAAAACCCAAAACTTGGGAACACTCTGCTTTTGTTTTACAGTGAAGTGGCAAAAACGATCAATTAGAGCGATAGAGATTGGGAGTCCAATTGTGAAAGCTATTTCTCAGCCACTGAAATAAAGCTAATAGAGCCATTTTTGCATGAGCCTTTCCGCTTGGCTTTCTAAATAACTCCCATGAGCAGTTTTGCTCACTCAGGCTATAAACAGTATTGATACATGCACTTTTAGGCCTGGAATTTTATATCAATGGCCAGAAATCAGTACAAGATGCAAAGGACAATGTAACTTAACAAGCTACGCCTGCCAATATTTTATTTCTCTACAGCTATTAAAGCTATAAGATGTCCCCAATTCCCTTTTAACTAACCCAATAGCAACGGAGGTAGAAATATTATGAAGTTAAAAATAGAAAAAAGGCAAAGTAAGCTTTGTTGAATGCATACCGGTGAATGGTAGTTAAAGAGATGAAACATATCCCCAAAACAGCACCTGATGTCCACCTGGATTGATGGTCGCCGGACTCTAAAGCAGTTGAAGAAAATTCTGTCTGATGGGGACATTTTGGCAACAAGTTGCCAGATTTTCAGTCCAGACTTGCAGCAACTCTGGCCCCCATAGTGAAGTTTTCCTGCTGCTGTGCTCCCCCCCCCAGTCTTCCATGCCAGGAAACAATTGCTTTGCTTCTCACTTTCTCCTTGTGGTCAATTCTTATTGGACATGCATAAATTTATAAATGTGTATGTACAGCTAAAAGTATGCAAAGTTACATTAAAAATATACTGTACACATAAAGATGAAGTATCAAAAGGCACCTAAATGCAGGCACAGCAGCCAACTTTAGAATACAAATTTCTTTTTCCCAATAGTGCCTCTGTTAGGTCTGCTGTAGCATTAGTGTTTAGTGTTAGTGATTATATTTTCAGGGCAGGTAGAATTTCACTAATGGGTTTTTTAATTATTATTTTTTCCCTGAAAAAATACTTTACAGGTAACTCTTTACATTGATCATAATTGGGTCCACCAACTCAGTCATTAAACGATGCTGCTGTTTAGCAGGAAATCACATAACCATGACTTATGGTTTTATTTCTGCCTTCACAACCTGATATCAAAGCACACAAACGGTCACCATGTAACTATGGGATTGATTGCAAAGTTATTTTTTTTATTTGGCACTATCATAGCTTTGAACAGTCACTGTGCAAGTCAGTTGGTAAGCAACGACTACCTGTGCTATTGTTTAAATAGACTCCTGGTATACTGCTCAATCACTTTTCCAATCAGTTGAGGTAGAGGAGTTTTACTTACTCATTTGGAGTGTTTGGGAGCAGAGGTGAACCATTTTATTTGAGGTGGAAGGAAAAATGATGAACCAGTACATAGGTGGACTTAATAAAAAACAAATACCAAAAAAACAAAAACAAAACCCTAATACCCAATACCGAAGCAAACAAACACAAAATAACCCAGGAGAAAAGAAAGTTCAAAGAAAGAGGGGGAGGGGGGAAGTAATAAAAATGTTTCTGCTGGATTTCAAATGAGAACAGTTATGCATGTCAATCAAGTGTTATAACTATTGTGCTACTAGGAAAGGCCTATGGCAGAAGCTGCAGCAGTCCTTATTGAGGTGAACTGAGCAACTAAGATGAAGGACAGTGCTGTCTTGTGCAAAGTATAGATGTTTGCCTAGAAGAAAATTAATATCGGAATGGAAACACTCTGCTAGAGAGAAGTTCCCTGAGGATGAGCTCCAGCATGAGTCTGAAAGCTCGGAAGACTAATCCTCTTGATTCCAGTGACCGACCCAGATTGGATCCTGCAACAGGACATGTATATTCACCTTCATTCCATTTGTGAGAAGGGAAACTGGACAGTTACATTTGAGCTGGCCAAAAGCAACAAACACTATTTCAAATGCAGAACAAGAAAACACTGGCAGAAGTCACATTCTTGGTGGGCAGGGAGCAAGTTGAGGACAATGTTATCTGCTCTTGTCCTCTAGAAACAGTTGATGGCCCATACTTATGATGGGGCAACCTGTCAGTGCAGATAAGTGCTAGCTGTCTGCTGTAAAAGTTTAATACATTGAGGTTTTAAATGTGTTCACAGCTGAATGGCCTTGTAGGCTAACTGTGTCATTCTTCCCCATAAAGCAAATTCACTTGGTTGACTTATTTTATTAATAATGAAATTATTCACTTTTTGAATCACCTGTGTCCTCTTGAGCAAAAATTCCAGTGCCTTCTAAATCAGGGGCTACAATGTGTTGGTGTGTATATTGAGATTGTATTGTTTTATGATATTTATGCTGTGATATGGCTTCCTCCTTTCCCCTACACCCACAATTGTAGCACCTTAATGAAAACCTGGCAAGGCTGACAGCCAAATTTGAGAAGGCCACTGTGGAGAAGCTGAAATGTCAGCAAGATGCAGAAGCCACTGCAAATACCATCTCCCTTGCAAATCGCCTGGTGAGTATCGTTGGCTGAAGCTTCCAGTGGGTTAGAAAGATTCTTGAAGTATATCTTTCTCGGTCTTAATGGATGGAGAGAAAACTAGAAGCATTTGTAAGTCTGGAAAGTTTTAGGACTCCAAGTCTAAATTAAAGGTAAATATTTCTAAATTAAATCTACATAAGGGAGTAGTTTGGACTTCTATACTGTTTGTTTTTTTTAATTTGTATTTTTTCATTCTTTAGTACTGGCAAAGAGAAGAACTGCTAAGTTTCCCTACTTTTCCAATGAATTGGCATGCAGCAGAGCAGGAAAAAGATGATAGGGATCTAATTCATGAGAGTATATAAAAAAAAGATTCAGCAGTAATTATTTAAGGTGCATTAAAGATAGAGGAAATGCATTTATTAGGAACAGTGCTTCAGTGATAGCACATGCATCTTATAGGAGCAATGTACAGATCTTCCTTGAAAATGATCACAAACATGCAACCCTGCCTACCCTTCAAAGTGAGGGGCAAGAATTTCTATAAATACTCTTCTCATATTTAATCATTTATACAAATGTATGGCTAATTTTGTGATGCTTTTTAACAGCATGATAATCGTGCATCAGTTCCAGATGGCATGACAGGAAGGTTTTAATTTGTATTTTTAATGAGTGTACAGGATTTTAAAAACCACTGTTCCCATTTAACTTTGCAATAAGTCTCTTTCAGGTGTACCATGCAATAACCTTATATTATGCAAAAGATCACACTTGCCGGAGTAAGAAATAGCAAACAGTTTAAACTAATTGCTGTTGGATGGACAGTTTTCTTTGGCTTCCTGGTGATTTTCAATCCCTAGTGCTGTAACCCTCCATCTACTGACAACACAGTGTCCTCTAAATTTACTAACCAACTGTAATTGAGGCTGGGATCACAATTCATAGCTACAAGGGTATATAAAACTACTGCTGCAGTCTACCAATTTTTTCCAGTCTGAACATAAGAATTGCTTTTTAATGAAATGAAGCCAGTCTAACTGCAAGGGCAATGGTTTAAGTGGTGTGTGAATTCCAATGTATGAGATTTAAGAGTATTCTACCAGGTACTTTATTTCTCTCATTATTTTTGAAATACTTCAAGATGCTTGAAGATATTCTGGTAAAATGTGTTATTAATGCAATGGAATTTACCTGCCACTACAGCTCAGATTGGCTTTTTGCCATAAAGGATGTCATGGCGAATTTAAGCTAGGTACATTCATTCACAGTTTTCCTAATTAAAGGTTGAACACAAAATGTCATATAGTTGAATAGTACACTGTGAGTAATTAATATAAGTACCATGTCTGAGATCTTTCCCGTCATGTGTTTCAGTACAAATTTCAGGCCCTTGTGCATTTTTGCCAATAAACATAGCTAATGATTTCCACATCTGTGTTTACATTTATTTAGAGAGGAATGGGAGTTTAGGCTGCAAATGTTGCAGAAGAGGTCAGTCACAGAAGAGCCAGTTAAAATTTGAAATCAGGGGGAAAAAAGAATTAATTAGCATGGAAGGTGAACATGACAACGCAAAGCTGTTAAAATGTAATCTTTCATTTTGTAGTCTGGTTGTAGACCATTTTTTCTGTTTTAGACTTCATATTTTTAAACTTCACTCTTTGTCCATGGGAACATGATTGATGCCCTTTTCTGTTAATTTTGTCAAAATGATAAGGCACTTAGGTGGGGAAAACCAGATCTCTTGGTACATGATAAGTGGTACCTGGCTTGGCAGTAGTACTTGTGAGAAGAATTTATTTATTCAATTTATATTCTGCCCGTCTCACTATCCAGAGTGACACTGGGTGACTTATAATGCAATAAAAATAGAAATATAAAGACAATTATAAATATAGCAACATAAAATGTCTGCAAATTGGGTATCCTGATAGACCAGAGAGTAAGCATGAGCCACAGTGTGGTATAGTTGTGCCTTTCTGCTAAATATTAACATTATTCTGTACATCTTTATTTATGATGAAATGTCTACATTTTAGTAAATGCTTTTCTCTCTGGTTCAGAACTGGCATTTGAAGTTTCTTGTTTATTTGTCCAAATGTTTATCTGTAAGAAGATTCATACTTTATCACTTTGGCTAGGAGAACAAGGACCAACCTTGCGTTTTGACACCCTACATTGACATAATCAGGGATATCCTGATATTCTGACTTTGTGTATATGGCGGTGAGGTACAGTCTGCCTCCTTTGGTTCAGTTCACCTCTTAGAGAGAGAATTTTGGTGGTCCAACTATATCTGTTACTCAGTCATTGCTATGGATAAAGATATGCCACCTTTTTCCACTGAGGGTTAGGAAGAGGAAAAGCTTCTGTACTACTTCTTCCTTTTGAGTTTTAAATGTTCTGTGTTAATAGCTGTGATTTTTATTCAACTCAAGTGTAAAGTCCAGCTTAAAAAAAAAGAAACTTATTTTCCAAGAGACAAAGTTACAGGTGTTAAAACACACTATGTTCCTAAATTGCCTGACTCATCCCTTTTGTAACAGTGTGAAATAGATTCCCTAAGGGAGATTCACAGAGTTCCAATAGAGATGCAAGCTGTTTCCATACCTTCACAGCAAGTATATTGGCTAGTTAAGGGATATATATATTCTAAAATTGCTGCCTTGCTGTTGATTAGGAATAGAAGATTATTGAAACTAAAAAACTATTTCCCTTCTTTTTTTCTTCCCTGTCTTCTTTTCTTAAGCAATATTTGTTTCTTAGCATTTCCACAATGCTTCTTGTGGTGGAAGTTCTATGGCCATCAGGTAATATCAGGTAGGGATTTGCTTGTGAAGACAGACAGAGTGAGAGACAAGCAGACATGATAGATAGAGGGTTGTGCTATTTTTATAAGGAAAATGTGTAGAACAACTGTATAAGTTACAGAGAATAGTCAGGCATGGAATCTGGTGAAGTCAAATTTACCTGTGTTTTTTTTTTTTAGGTTGGGGGTCTGGCCTCTGAAAATGTGAGATGGGCTGATTCAGTAAGAGATTTCAAACTGCAAGAAAACGCATTGTGTGGTGATGTCCTGTTGATTACTGCCTTTGTCTCCTATCTGGGTTATTTCAGCAAGAAATATAGACAAGACCTGATGGATCATGCATGGAAACCATACTTGAAGCAGCTAAAAGTGAGCAGAAGGCAACTGTTATATTTCCTCATGCCTCTCTTTTGAAAGTGCCCTAGCTGCTGCTGTTGGCCATGATGGTATTGGGAAATATTTCTTCAGTTGAGTTGCCAAAACTTGTTTTGAATTAATAGTTAATGAGACATTCCATTTTATATAGGTTGTTTTCTGTGGGAATGAAGGGTATTTCCTCAACTTCTTTCCCCCCTCTTTCTGGGTTCTATCTTTTATATTGTGACTCAATGCCAAAAGTAATATGTTGTTTCTCTTTGGGGGAAGACATGATGAACTGAAGACAGCTCTGCTAAAAATGGAGCTGATAACAATAGTAAAATAAAATACGGGTGAGTGTACTGGCTTTTTGCAGTTGCTTTCTAGGTAAGGAGAGGAATTGAGATAGCCCACAAGGGCTTCCTATAGTTGTTCCTCATGAGGAGACTGGCAGGTTTAGGAAGGATCTAAAAATTACAATTAAAACAGAAACGCTGAAATTTGACATTAATACAGAGTGAAGCAAAATATTTTAATATCGGACAGAATGAAGGATTTGTTAACAATGGGCTCATAAGTTAAATTTTCATAGTGTCTATTAAGTCATCTGCCTTTATGGAGAGACTTTGTTTAAAATATGTTATGAAAGAGGAACAAGTTTTACCTGACAATATTGCGAGTGATCTGAAAGTACTTTTAAAAATAACAGGCTATAAGAATACTATGGAGAAAGAACCTACACTGGACATATAAAAGAAACTGACTGATCTCTTAATAATTAAAAGGAATATAGAAATAACAAACCAAAAGAGTGAACTGGACAATTTTTCTACATTGGATTTACAAGATAGGCTTGTTAAAGCTTTGAAGAATTTTATGAGAAGGGACAAATAAAAAATGGAAAAAAAACAAGTTCTAAGACTTTATTTGAAGAGTAAAGCTCAAGGTTGTTAAATATAAAAAGAAGGAATATAAAGTTGGTTTATTTGGCCAAGGTTAAAATTGATATACTGTTATCTCTGATAATCCTAGAGTTATCCTGTGGTAAAATGGATGGCCAATAAATTTTACGAAGAAACAAACCTTAATGGACTTTTGGTGATCAGGACTGAAATGACGAAGCTTTAAGGATTTGTTCATAGATACGAGATGGGTCATGGGGAGATCATTTGTTGTATTTTAAGAGAAGACAAGTTACTAAAATTGTTTATACTTGTTGTAATGAAGGGGAAAACATTTATTTATATACTGCTCACAAAAATAAAGGGAACGCAAACCCCTTCAGTTCCATGGTAAAATGTTCTCTTTATTTTTTTGAGCAGTATATATTTCCTTTCTTTTTCTTTACTATATTTTTTCTTTTCTATTTTTCTTTTCTGCGTTATTCTTTCCTGCCTCTTCTATTTTTTCTTTTTATCTTTTAATTTTTTAGTATTAGTTTTTACCTTTGCAATTCTAATTTTTAATAAAATTACTATTTTAATATGTTGTTATTGCAGTGAGAAATCACTTCTTGATTGAAAAGATATGAAAGACCATTAATGACTCTTAGTCCCTAATCCTCTAGCAGTGCTTGAAAGGCTTCAATGTGGACTGGCATGTAGGGCTTGCATCTTCTCAGAACTGTGAATATTGCCTTGCAGCAGAACAGCAGATGTGTGAATGTGTTAATTACATTCTTCTAAATAACAACTTGTAATCATAATCAGATCCTTCTTTACCAAGTTGTCAGATTTGTCTGCTCCAGGCTTCATTCTTTGAGGTTTCTATGTCATTGACTGGTATCTCTGTACATAAAGGCAAAAGAAGAGGGTGTTGGTTGCCTCCAGCCTGTTGATTCTTGATATATCTGTAAAAAGTTAGTATAGCTATGCAGTACACACTAACTTTCAGCTCACCTATATTTTAATTAAAATTGAAAAATACAAGATACCATTGGAATAAGAGAAAAATAGTCTAATTACTTCCCTTTGGAAGCTGATTCCAAGGGCAACCTGTCAAGGCTTTCCATGAAGCCATTGCCACTGAATTTCCCCCATTGCTTAAGGCAGAAGCAGCGTGTGGAGCAATTCATTCTGTGCTGCTTCCAACCGTTGAAAACATACATTCCCTCAGCCCCAAATTGGATCCGATGACGAATCTGAATAAATGACCTACAGCTCATGAAAACGTGTGCCTTTTAATAAAATTCTTTAGCTGGAAAAGGTGCTACCAAATTCTTGATATTTTTTTTTGCCACCATAAAGTAACAGGTTCCCCTCTTACAATGTCAGATCTCAAAGCTGGCCAGTGGCATTGTAAAATATTATTGCCAAAAGCTGGAAGCAAGGTCAGTGGTGCAATTAGATCCCAACTTGCAAGGACAGGTAACATAAATCTGCTGGTACATAAATTGTATATTTGACCCTATTGTTGCAGTTATCTATTAAGAGCAAGGAATATTGTCATCTTTGTTGTTGGAATGACAATATCAGGGACCTCTGTTACTCTCAGCTATTTCAGAGTTCTTACCACTCTCAAAAGAAAAAGCATGAGTATTTCTTGAGGGGAGAAGTCATGGCAAGTCTCTACCATATTCTGTTTCCTTGGAATAATAAGAAAAAGAAATCTATCGTTCTTAGATAAAGGTCACTAAAAGAGTGCTTTCTTGAACATTGCTATTTTCAGTGTCTTGGATTATGTTTTCCATTATTACCAGGTCACATGTGCTTTTTTTGTGCATAGTTGCAATGCAGAGTCATAACCCGTTGGCTGTAGGTGATAATGCTTTGATTGCCCCAAGGTTGCAATTCCTGTCACTCCCTCTTTGGACCCTCTGAAGATGCTCACTGATGATGCTGACATAGCAGCTTGGCAAAATGAAGGTTTACCAGCTGACCGCATGTCTGCTGAAAATGCTACCATTCTGACCAACTGTGAGCGCTGGCCACTCATGGTTGACCCCCAGCTGCAGGGCATCAAGTGGATAAAAGCCAAGCATGGAGAAGACCTCAGAGTGACTCGAATTGGCCAGAAGGGGTAAGCAGACACGATTAAACAAAATGGCAAGAAAATAACAAATGTGTTCAATAGTAGCCTCATATCTGGGTGTCACGTGTGTGATGTATGTCTTTCAGATTGTGAGAGCCAACTGTATTTTAAGAAAAAGCTCTCCAATTTGATGCTATTTCAAACTTTTGGGCATTGACTGGCTTTGTTTACTATCAGAATGACAGAAATTTCTGATTAAATGGGGAGGAACTTTGTAGAACCTGTCATGGTTGCTATAGAAACCTGAAACTGAATGGAGAATGAGAAGAAGGTACCAGCACACTGTACGTCAGAGTGCAGTTTTTAAGTGCCAGTGATTTTAATCTCTGTTCTATTCTTTCTGTAATTCAGTTAAAGGAATAGAGGGATCCGGGCTTCTGTGAGACGAGGATCTTCCAGACTGTGCTTTTGTGAGTTCTCAAAAGGAAGTTCGTTAGCGTGAAGGTAGAAGTAATACATTGGTCCCCTGCTTAGAAGATCGCCTAACGAATTATCATGGACAAGATTTAAAAAGAATTCAAAGAGAGCAAGCTCATAGGGCTGGCTGTTTTTATCTCCTCTTCTTGTTACATCCTAAGGAAGAGGCCTGCCTTAGTTGCATTGTCACAGATTTTAAAAATGCTGAAATCCAGACCTTTTTACAGTTCTTAATTTTTATTTAGCCAGCGCTAGTAATTTTGCTTACAGGTTTTGTTGCTGTGAGCTTAGCTGGCTATTAGATAGATCTGTATCAGTCTAGAAAAGTATTTTTGCCCTGTATTTCTCATGATTTTGGGACCCGTCTTTCAAACAGTGCATATTGTTATACCTTGTAAGAGAAACTCAAGATGAATGCTGTTCTTGTAACATAGGGTAAGCTAGGCAATGCTGTGATAGGATAGATTAGATTTTATTAATATAAACGCTGATTGAAATAAATATACTAGCCAAACTGAACTCAAAAAACAAAGAAAGATTAAAATATTTACTACTATTTGTATGCTTTGCAAATCTGAAGAAAGCTCTAAGCAGCTTCCAAAAGAATATAAACTTTCAAGCAAAATCAGGAATAAAACAAAGATATGACTACAACATTATGTAAAACCATAAACAACAAAACTGTTTCAAAAGAGTAATACAGCAAATGTATTAATTAATTTACTATTTATTACACTTGTGTACTACCCAACTCACAATGACTCTAGGCAGTTAACAAAGTAAAAATAGAGAAACATAACAATAAAATAATACTGCAATAAAGACAAACAAAACAAGGCATAACTAGGCAATAATGAGAGACTTATCCATACTACTCAGAAAGGAGTAGCCAAAAGTCTTGACAAAGAACCAGATCTTCAAGGTCCTTTAAAACACTAGCAGGGTGGGGGACCATCCAGATCTTGAAGAAGAACCTCATTCCAGAGGACAGGCATTACAACAGATGGTACATTTAATTGAAGGAACCTGGATCATGCCAATCCTGCAAGATCGAATTGGCCAATAAGATACTGTTGGAGATAGATAGTGTCTCAGTAACCAGCCCTAAACTCAACTACTACTGCTTAGACTTTGCCAGAAAGGGTAATCAATATGACTCTGTTTCTTAGTTTATCATATAATGGAATGAAGTAGTATCTAACATGAGGAAGTACACACACACATTAACAGATAAAATGTTTAATTTAAATAAAGTGTCTATTGGCATACCCATTCAAAGATGAAACATGCATCTGTGCATCAAATATGAATATGCTGTATGTTAGATCTTCAGTGTTTCTCATTCAGGACAAAGGATTACCATCACAAAGTGGAAATGCTTAATTCAAAGAACCAATGTAGATTTTAAAACAAGGAATATATACTACACAATCTACAAAAATAAAAGCTCCCAGTAGGAAGATGAAGTCATAGAAATTAACTAGTCAACTCACATATTTTTGATAAAACAGATTCAAGTAAATCATTCCACTGTTTAAAAATTGTTCAATACATTGCCAGATTTGATTTAATAAAGCCTACTTAGGGGTAAGGAAAAAAACTGGAATAGGAATAGGAATCCAATGGTTATCAATTGAGAGAGAATTGTTAAATCAACATAGATCAGATTCCAAGGTCATCAAAAGGATGTTGACTTGAAAAGGCAGGAGAAAAAAAATCTAGAACTTAAACCTTGGAGCGTAGGCTTGCTTCTGTTTCTGTAGAGAGCCAGTTTTCAGGATGTGTATGACGCCTTCCTAGTCAGTAACAAAAAATTTAGTCGGTTGTACAAGGGAGCCTTCTGTCTTCTGAATAAGGGATTAAGATTGGGAGATTTATAGCCAAGCCTGGTATAAAGCTTGAATTTTAGTGGTTCATAATGATTAAAAGTCATAGCTGAAGAGCCATACCAAAATTCTCTCTCCTGGCTGAAATAGTTATTTATCTACAGTCACTGGTGAACTTTTTAAAACATAACTTTAGTATTCTTTCTTCAATCTCCTTGCTTAATTTAAACAGTTATGCTTCTCTTACTTATAACTATATACCTAGGCCATCAGGGTTCAGGGAAACTCAATTTGCTGTTTGGAGGGAGAGGGAGAGAATACATTAGTAGGGTAAAGCTATTTTATGTAACCTAGCATTCTCCAGGAGTGCTGGAATATTATCCTCCGAATTCCCAGGCGTCATGGAATCCAAGAATATCTGGAACTCATCTGGGGCTCATGTTATGGAAGCCTGGATTTATATGTTCTTTAAAAAGATAATGCATGGAAAAAGCTGAGGCATCTCTCTCTAAAAAAAAGCCTTTGGCTCCAGTTACTTTTTAAGTCTCTTGAATTTTGCAAAACCTACTTTTTTGAAGAACTGAAATACTGTTCTAGCTGCTGATCCACTTTGCTTAAGTAAGAATATAACAATAAATACCTAGAGCAAGTCATTGGTCTCTCTCTTTCATAATCATTAACTCCTCCCCATCTACACCTTTTGTAATGACTTCATCCTTCGCTTTCCTCTGTAAGTTTCTCAGGGTTTTCCTTAACATGTATAATGCTGATGCTGTATTTCTTAGGTATCTGGATATTGTGGAACAAGCTCTTGCTGCTGGGGAAGTTGTTCTGATTGAGAATTTGGAAGAATCTGTAGATCCAGTGTTAGGTCCATTGCTGGGTCGAGAGACAATAAAAAAAGGAAGGTGAGATGATAGTGAATGACATAATTCTGTGACCATCATCTTCTGAAAGATGCGCATGACATCTGTTATCCTCCCCCAAGCATATAATATCAGGGTTCAAAAACTTTTCTGAAGCCCTCAGAATTGATGTTGTAAAACTACTTTTTACAACCAGTCTAATGGATAAATTTAATATTTATCTGTTTGATTTATATCCTACCTGTCATTCAGGAACTCAAACTGGTATTCATAATCCTCCTTTCTCCTCATTTTTCTCATAGATAGTTTGGGCTAAGAGACAGTAGTTGGCCCAAACTCTCCCAGTAAGCTCCTGTAGTCTAATACCTTAACCCAGAATGGCACACTAATGTATTTGATTTAACTTTAATTGGCATAGATTATAGGAGCTGCTGCATAGTACATTTTATTCCTTTTCGTAAAGGACAAGGAAGGTATTGCAATGGTAAATGGGCCCTCCAAATAAGTTGGACTTCAAAAACCAGCAGGGCCTTTGGTGATTATGTCTACTATATCTGGAGGACTTTTTTTTTTATCAGGGGAAGCTGATTTAGAATGATTAATTCTCACTGCACTGTAAAATTATACATACCTCTGGAATCTAATTAATTATTTTATAATGGCATATGGATACTGCAGGCATGAGTAATCATGCTTGATCTTCTTTCAGGTTCATTAAAATTGGAGATAAAGAATGTGAATACAACCCCAGTTTCCGACTAATTCTTCATACAAAACTAGCAAATCCCCATTACCAACCAGAAATGCAAGCACAGTGCACCCTCATCAACTTCACTGTGACTCGGGATGGTCTAGAAGATCAGCTGCTGGCAGCAGTTGTAAGCATGGAGAGGCCTGACCTGGAAGAATTAAAGGTAACTAACAGAATTCAAGATGGACTGAATAATTCTTTCCCAAGATTTATCCATGTTTTAAACTATTATCTGTATCCAGAAGCAGTGAATGCTCCAACACTGGAAGTTTTTAAGAAGAGACTGGACAGCCATTTGTCCGAAATGGTATAGGGTTTCCTGCCTGAGCAGGGGGTTGGACTAGATGACCTCCAAGGTCCCTTCCAACTTTATTATTATTATTATTATTATTATTATTATTATTATTATTATTATTATTATTATTATTATNATCATCATCATCATCATCATCATCATCATCATCATCATCATCATCATAGATAAGAAAAGTTAAAGAAAATATTCTTAAAGTAGTACTGTGTTTCCCCAAAAATAAGACCCAACTGGAAAATAAGTCCTAGCATGATTTTTCAGGATGCTCGTAATATAACCCCACCCCAAAAATAAGCCCCAGTTAAGATCGTCAGCCAGACAGACGCATTTAGTACCCTATTTCCCCGAATATAAGCCCTAACTGGAAAATAAGCCCTAACACATCTTTTGGAGCAAAACTTAATATAAGACCCGGTCTTATTTTCAGGGAAACATAAGTATTTCTGCAGCTTTGGCCTCCCCACCAGTCATAAAGCTAAATAGAGTTTAGGATAAACATGCTAAATATATTTTGTGTCTAGTTATAAAAAGGTTTTAATGTACATCTGGCGAACTAGAACCAGCACTTTCAATCTTGGAAATTAACGTTAAACAGATTATTAATACAGCTTTATCCAAAGCTCGAAACTCCTTCATCTAGTATTGGGACCATAGCTTTCAAAATTTCTACCACTGGAACTAATTTCATTTGGCAAACCAGATAAAACTGTTTTTGATGGTGGCAACATGGCTCCTTCAATTAGTACACTAACTCTGCATTTTGGAGTGTTTCTATGACACAAAGGAGATACACAAAATTACATAGTTCATGCATTTTATCATTTTGCTTGCCACTGATTTTTTTTCCTTGACTAAATAAATGTACATATGTTGAGTCAATGAACAGTTCAGCAAATGCTATTGGCTAGGTTGTAATAATACTGAGAGATGCAGTAGAACATGTGAGGGAAACATAGAATGTCCTAAAGTGGTTACTTAAATTAATTCTCAAGCTGTGCATGAAACATTACAAACTAGAGCCGTCCTCTGAATACTTTAGCAAATTGAGTCATGTTTGCCAAGAATTTTTGGTTGTACTGAAAATAGTCATCCTTCTTCTTGTAGCTGAACAATATGTTGCTATTGACACATAAGGAGCCCTTGCAATACATTTGTGTATGGCACGTTATAATATAATTGCTAAACAGTAGACTAGAGCAACCTGCTGCCACAGACAACAGCCCTTAGAGAAGAACTCAAGATGACATAAAGATTTTCCATTCAGTGTAGCAAATCATTTCTTTTTTTCTCTCTCCATTGTCCAGCTTCTCAGGGAATATTGTGTCAGCTAAAAAATAACTAATCATAAAGTGCATTTTGTGTCCCAGCACCAGGGAAAGCCAAAATCTCCAGTAACAATTATATAATTTGCGTATTTTAAAAATTAGAAACCTTGTACAAGCTGGTAAAATTAGTCTTAAAAATCCAATGTTGAGGGTATATTCCTTAGAGTACCTTGGTGAGTGAGCAACCATATAAATGGATCAAAAAAAGAACGGAAGTTGGGTAAAGAAAAAGGGAAATTCTGTAATTAGTGCTTGCAGTATTTGGAGTTCATGTATGACTTATGGACAACTCTCTCCAAATTCATAGAACAGAGAAATCAGGAGGAATTACTATACATTTGTGAAATGAAAAAGGACAGTACAGGTAGTCCTCGCGTTATGACCACAATTGAGCCCAAAATTTATGTTGCTAAGTGAAACACTTGTTAAGTGAGTTTACCCCATTTTACGACTTTTCTTGCCACAGTGGTTAAGTGAATCATTGCATTTGCTAAGTTAGTAACACGGTTGTTAAGTGAATCCAAATTCCTCATTGACTTTGCTTGACAGAAGGTCGCAAAAGCTGATCACATGACCCCGGAACACTGCAACTGTCATAAATATGAACCACTTGCCAAGCGTCTGAATTTTGATCATGTGACCGTGGGGATGTTGCAACGGTTGTAAGTGTGAAAAAAAGTCATAAGACACTTTTTTCAGCGCCGTTGTAATTTCGAATGGTCGCTAAATGAACTGTTGTAAGCCGAGGACTACTTGTATTAAATAATTAAAAGGTTAAAAAGAGTAAAACATTGGGCATTGAAAGTTAAAACTATGAAATTAGCAACAGAGTGGATAAAAAGAACCAATGTGTAGATGGGATGGATTTGTAATCATATCCTAACCAGCCACCTCTAAAATCAGAGCCCCCATTGGGGCCTGAAGCCTGTGGGCAGAGCCAGGTTTTCAGGCCATTTGGAGGGCCAAGGGGGGGCAGATCTCATATAAACAATAGTTCACATAATGCAAGAGGATCTATTCTGTGTAAAACCCTATCATGATAGATGCCCAGAAGGAAGTCCATGTTTTGGGAAGTGGGGGAGGGTTTTTTAAAAAATAACCAGGCTTCCTAATATATAGCACAGAAAAACCAATTTTCCTGCTAGATGATTTGCCAGCCATCTACTGATCTATCCTAGAGATTGAAGGTGCAAGGTAGAGAGTTCACAATAATGAATAAGGAGTTTGGAAAGAAATGGATCATTAATGGAAAATGGAAGAAACTTTCTGTACAGTTGGAAAAGCATAAAAACTAAGGATTTAAGCCTCTCTTAATTTTAGCAGCACAACAGGACTTTGGGGTGTTGTTATTCTTAATGCTGCCAACTTTATTTCAGAGAATTGGCATTACTATGGAAGAAGTTGGAAAAGATTGAGTTTACCATATTGCTCTTTTACACTATTAATACTGCAGAAAGTAACATTCTGAGGTTATATATTAAATTTCTTATCCCATATATCATACCCCAATCTGGCTATGCAAAGAAAACCAAATTAGGCTAAGTTGTGGAAAATCATTAAATCTATTAAAGAAGCAATGCTTTTCAGTTAAATTAATTACTTCTTTAAAGTAAGAAAAATAATAGCTTTATAGTTTTGCTTTGTCTTTTTTTCCAAACAGATCTATGGTTAGCCTATGGCCTAAAGAAAAAGTTATTAATTGCTTCATCATAGTAGCTTTTCTAAGAACAGTTCTTTTTAATTAAACAACATTTTCAAAAACTAAAGAAGGAAACTTTTGTGTTTTAAACAAATCCCAGCCTTTGGCAGCCTGTTCCCACATTTCCCATATCCAAGACTTTTCCCTTCCCATCTGTAATGTCAGAATAGCTACCCTTCCTGACCAGTAAATTAGAGTTTAGGTAAGAATGGCAAACTTGCACTTGAAGTGGAGAGCAGCTCAGAGCAGCAGGAGGAAGAGGGCAATTCAGAACAAATGTTCATGGAGACCATTGCAGATTCCACCAAATCTTTACTCTTAATCTCTTTCTTCTGGAGCTGCTGCTGAAAGGACAGTGCAGTGAGAGGTACATCCTCTGTCCCCAAAATTCCTGGGGGGGGGGAGAGGAGTAAACAAACAAGTTATCATTTGAGTGAAATGCCACTGTAGAAACAAATGGGGTTTAGATTCAGTGATTGTTGATCTCTTCTCAAAGCAAAGTGATCATTATGAGCAAATTACTGTTGATTATATGAATCATACTATCTTGCAATAGAAATTGAATTGAATTGAATATTTTATTTGGCCAAGTGTGATTAGACACACAAGGAATTCGTGTCTGACACAGAAACTCTCAGTGTACATGCAAAGCATTATCATCATCATCATCATCATCAATCATCATTCCAATAAGAGGTGGAGTAAAGAAGATAAGGATGAATAATAATACTACATAGACATTAGACTTAGAAGTATTTGGAATTAAGAGAGATCTGTGGTCTTTCAATTTGTTTCATCCCTAATGCTGCTCAGTCTTTGGCACTTACAGTATTTGGGACCTAGATAATTCCTGTAGATTCTGGAAAAAATGAGCATAAGATTCTAGTTTAAACTAAAATGCAATACATTTTATCACTTTCATTCAGCTGAATGTGTTACATCTGTTTGTGGGTTTTACTCCTAATGGAGTAAACTGGATTGGACTATCTCGGGAACAATCATCCTAATACAGATTTTTGGCAGTCTGGTCTGGGCCCTTGAATGGAAGTGAATGGTCTCTACAATCCTTAATGTGAATTGTAATACACTATATGCTGCATAAATGTTCTGCAATACAGCATCTATTTAAATTTGGAAGGGTGTGCCATGTTGCATTTCATTTTCCCAAAGAGGGAGTTTCCAGCATATGATGGTTTAACACAGGGGTCTCCAGAGATTTTGATTTAATGAAATCTTTGCTTTGCTTTGAAAATGATATGATGATATATATGTATACACACACTATATATCTCAACTTTTTACAGTCTGATCTCACAAAACAGCAGAATGGTTACAAAATTACCTTAAAAACTTTGGAGGACAACTTGCTGTCCCGTCTCTCGTCTGCCTCAGGGAATTTTTTAGCCGATACTGCCTTGGTGGAGAATCTGGAAGTCACTAAACAAACAGCTGCAGAAATTGAAGATAAGGTAAAAATGCTAAATTGAGTCTGGTGTGTGACTGAAAACAAAAATCTATGTTAAGAGTGAGTGAATATGAATTGTTTAAATGTTGGTACTTATTGATAGCCAGTTTTGTTTTTAGTGGTTAAGGCATCAAGGTAGAAACTGGGAAACCACGAGTTCTAGTCCTGCCTTAGGAATAAAGTCAGCAGGTAGACCTTTCTCTCAGCCCTAGGAAAGAGGCAATGGTAAACCATTTCTGAAAACCTTGCCAAAAAACCTGTAGGGACTTGTTCAAGCAATCTTCGAGAATTGGACATGATTGAGCATAAGAAAAAAAAAATACTTATTAGTTAACCAGTAAATTGTTGATAAGTATAATATATAAGGTAGATTTTTTTCTTATTCTCTCATTTTTAGTTGGTTTAATTTTTTTATTAATCTTTTTCTTTTTTGGTTTCTGTTTTTTTCTTTCAAATATTGTTTTGTTAATTGTCTATGAGTTTGTGTTGGAATATTTAAGTATTTTGTCAAGTTTTTGGCAATTTGTAACTAAAATTTAAAAGTAAATGAATTGGTTAAATGCATCTTGTTTGTTCTACAGCTTGGAGACTAAAAATCATGTCAAAACCACATTCTGGCAAGATTTACTAAGCATTTTTGTTTTAGTTCAGATGCCTTTAATGAGCAATTTAAGAGAAACAGTAGCACTGGATGCAAAGACCATACAACTACAGCATTCTAACAAGATGTTTTAAAGCATTTACGTTTAATACCAAAGTGTTTTACTTGAGTTAATTCACATGCATTACATTTACTGAATTAAATTAGGAATTGAGTGGAGGCTATACAGTATGGAAGTTTCCATGGCCTGTATTAAGTTGGCTGGAATCCAGCATCTTGGCTGCTCCCCGGGTGAAAATTTGGCTTTGAAAATGATCTATTCAATACTCACCTGACGTAGATGTTTTGCTTTGCAAATACTGGCAACATCTTTCTCCTGTACCACACTGAAGAGCCATGGGAACGGGCGCTGCCAGGTTTGCCCTTCAGCACAAATGAGAGATGTTTCTGAACTGTTTGTGCAGAGGGTACTTTCAAGCTTTTGGTAGCTGGAGCTCAGACATCCTCGGTGATAAGATTACGTAACACCTCCATGTGAAAATTTAATATGGGCATAGTAACGACCTTGGAAAGTGAAGGAGAATCTGATGGAAGTTAGTTCCTTGATAATTAATTTATGGGTGAAGTGATGGTTGAATGTATGTGCTCTACATCTGGAAATGTTGGGAAATTAGAAGCAGGCAGGCAAGGGGGTATGCTACACATGCTACATATACACAAATTTATCGAAAATCATGCCATTTCCATGCAAACTAAGAAAATGTGTACCTACAGTAGGTATGGCTATGTTGCCTCTTCATAGTTTTATTGTTATTTCCTTTCAGGTCCAGGAGTCCAAGATAACAGAAACCAAGATTAATGAGGCAAGGGAACATTACCGTCCTGCAGCAGCTCGTGCTTCACTGCTATATTTCATCATGAATGACCTCAACACCATCAATCCCATGTACCAATTTTCCCTAAAGGTACAATAGTTTCATCTACAGTAAGAGTTGGCCTTTCCCCTTCTCTCTTTTTTCCCAACCCAGGCCAATTCTTCTCCAAATTTTAGGGACAGATAAGGAGTCTGAGACGAGAGAGGCCCACTAGCATCACATACGAGGGGCCTGGCAATCTTGCCAGTACTTGAAACATAATTGTGTACAGTAACCACAGGTGAACATTTCACTAAGTTTTGGTAATATAAAACTGCCAAAATTTCACCGAACCTGGAACGATTTCAGCATTCATTGTGAAATCTTGTTTTTCTTCCATAAAATTTCATCATTTTTAAAAATTATTTTATGTTTGTGCTTCATGGACATTCTGACTGACTCATAACCATTCATGTCAGCCACAGGGGCCTATTTACTCCCTCCACCCTCTCCCTTAATTAGCTTCATTAACCAGCCAACACAAAATATATCAATAGATTGAGATTGCATTTTTTTTAAATGTCCTAGACCTTAGATAGTTATTTAAGGATATTTAGACCTGTGAATTATGTCATCTTTAATGGGTTCTTTTTGTGCATTATGAAAAATGTATGACAAAAAGGTCCCTGGCCTTTGTTTGTGCCATTCTTTGTATTTTTATAATATTCAGACTCTGAATGCGGCAGATTAAATAGTTTAAACTTTTGTAGAAATGTGCTGAATTTCACTTTATAGAAGACTAGAGAAACAAACGTTATTGCATTAAGTTTCCACCAGAGATTTAAATAGTTCTTTACAATTTGCAGTAGCTCAAGTTACAGAAAGCTCTAAGAACATTCAGTGGAAAAAAAACTTGTCCTATGAGTAATTTAACAATATTGCATGCCTAAACAAAATATTACTAGAAACTATTTTTAATTTTTTGCTGAGACTTTCATTCCTATGAAACAACATTCTTCAAGGGTTAATATGGCACAGCAGGCATTTAATTTAAGAGCATGATATAGCAATTTAGAATTCAGTCTAAATTTCTTTCTCTCCATAATTGTTCTATTGTATATTCCGTTTGATGGTAGCTGATGACTTTTGGGTATGGTTTTTATTTTGCTCAGGGTGTTATTTTCTCCAACTGTTTGCTTTCCTGGTTTTGAATATTTCAGCTTCAGCAGGAAGTATATACGGATACTTTACATGAAAACAGCTGTTTTTTATTGAACTTTGTTTTCTCTTGAAGTATAACGCAAGGTGCATAGCCTATTATAGATTATTTTGGGGAAACATAATTCTGTTGCTTGAGGAAAGTAGATGTGTGTGTGTGTGTAGGTATTTCCTAATTATTAGTTACTATAATATGACCTCCATCCTTCAATAGGCAGAAACAATATCTGAATAAAATTTGTGTCCCTGTTGCCAATCCCTATCTGCCTCTGTTGCTTCTGGTCCAAAACACTCTCAAATGGGTCCTATTCTGATTTTTGCATGTGGACTAGAAGACCTAGTGAATGATAAGCCAAGTGAATGATAAACCAAGACAATGACCTGGAAAATCTCTCTCTCTCTCTCTCTCTCTCTCTCTCTCTCTCTCTCTCTCTCTCTCTCTCTCTCTCTCTCTCTCTCTCTCTCTCTCTCTCTCTCTCTCTCTCTTTCTCCATGCAATCTAATCAGTCAAACTTTTCAATTATTTCTTTTTCTAGATATTAATAGGTATTAAATTAATTAATATTAATTTCTAGATATTAATAAATTAATCTCTTTGGCATTTTTTGCCTTTGTATTACAAAGATTGTCTCGCTTACCCTTTTTTGCCTTCATACTTCCTTTTTGTTTTGTTAATTCATGCTCTTTAGATCATGATTGCCACATAATATGCCTATAGATATTAATATTTGGTGCGTGTTATGGCTTTGTTCAAACAATGCTTTCACTTAACACTTTTTAATAATATAAATAAAGTGCACACTAGGTCACATTGTTGTACCCTTGTTATAGGCAACATTGTAGCTAATACTAAGGATAGTACTAGCCAGTTCTGGCACATTTTGACCAGTGTGCCATATATGCCACTACAGCCCAATTTTCTCCTCATGTATGTTTATCTTATTCAATGCAACTTGGACCTCTAATCTTATAATTATCCTGCAAGCCAGCTTATTTCTGCCAGCTTTCCACAAACTAATAGCACACTTAGACTGCTACATGTGATGTGCATATATTTTTCAGAAATCTATAGATTGATAATTGGTAGGTTTGTTACAATAAGCCTAAAAATACTTTTAATTTGAAAATTCATGACACCCAGGAACATACTTTCTGGATGGCTCATAAAGAACAGTAAAGGGTTTTATAAAAAGAAAACAACAGTAGAAGATAACTGTCATAAAACACAAAAGCCAAACAGCAGTGATAACAGGCCCGAAAGAATAAATACGTTTTGAGAGCTCTCCCAATCTGCAGTAAGAAGTAGACCTCGTTTAATTCCAAAGACATATTGCATAAAGTAATCCCTGCCACCAAGAATGACAGTTCAGTTGTTGATGCCAAATGTATCCATGGTGAGATCCATAAAAATTGCCCCAGTGTTAAGCTTTACTTATACACTAAAATCCTGGGATTTGGAAGATATGAAGAGAAGAAAAAAATGATGATTTGCAAGGAATTGAAAAATGAAGAGATACCATATTATTGTGGGGCAGAACATAAGGCTGGGTGAAAAGAAAAATGGAGGGTTGAAAAGAGCAGCCAAGAAAACTAAAAACCACAAATCATCCCCAGACCAAAACAGAACTCTATGATATACAGACTAGGAAGTCAATAGCCATGTAAATTAGCTTTGGAGCTCTACTATGCCTGTAAGATGTGTCTAAAGGAAATTTCCTACAAAATGTCTTAGTAAGGTAAAATTCTGGCAGCAGAATTAAGTGTTTCCTCCCTCCCTCCCTCCTTTTATTTCTTTGAGTCAGAATTTCAGCTCAGAACAAATTTGAACTAATGAGTCAACTTTGCCATGCGGTTGAAGTAGAATGATTGCCCAGGTTTTATGGAGTTTGTCAGGAGACTGCTAACCTTTTTGCCTATGATGGCAACTCAGTTTTTCTACAATGCATAACCATTGCTAATAATAAAAGGCAAAGAAGGAGCAGCTCACTTCTGTTTAACCCTGCTTTCCTTAATGCTCATGACAATAGAATAACAGATTTATATCACTGGCCTTCAAGAAATTGAAAATTGGTATCCTTCCATTCAGCCTGAAGATCTTGTGAGCTAAGCATGAGTGCAGCCTTACATGCAGGTCACTTATTCCTAGACTGCCTGAATACTAGCTAGTGCTATATACTATTTTCTTCTCAATTTTATGAATGAGACCCAGAATGACATTTTATATCCAAATGTACATTGTTTTCATTGTAATTTTCAAGACTAGATGGAATCAACATGGGGCCAGCCTATTCTCCAAAGCACCTGAAGGCAGGACAAGAAGCAACGGATGGAAACTAATCAAGGAGAGAACCAAGCTAGAACTAAGGAGAAATTTCCTGACAGAATAATTAATCAGTGGAACGACTTGCCCCCAGACGCTGTTGGTGCTCCAGCACTGGAGGTTTTAAGAAGAGATTGGACAACCATTTGTCTGAAATGGTATAGGTTTCCTTCCTGAGCAGGAGGTTGGACAAGAAGAACTCCAAGTTTCCTTCTAACTCTGTTGTTCTATATTAAGCCATTTGGCATTTGGAGATCTACTTAAAATATTCAAAGTGTTTCATTATGACTGTCTCTCTTTCTCACTACATTTAGGCATTTAATGTGGTCTTCCAGAAAGCTGTCTCAAGAGCTCCAGCAGATGAGATCCTGAAAGAGCGAGTAAACAACCTGATTGATAGCATCACATTCTCAGTGTTTCAATATACAACTCGTGGACTCTTTGAATGTGACAAACTGACTTACACAGCCCAAGTCACTTTCCAGGTAACATTGTGGATTTGTTAACTCTCATACCAGTTACTTTCTAAGTCAGGGGTCTTCAAACTTGGCCCTTTTATGACTTGTGGACTTCAACTCCCAGAATTCCTCAGTCAGGCACGCTGTTCTAAGTGGTATGTACTGGTAGATAATGTTCTCTATGCTGCAACGTTTTGCTTAGGACATACCAGATAAATTCTGTAACACTTTCAGTGGTAGATCATTGTCTTTGAGTCTCTGTATGATGATTACATTGGCATTCTAGATCCTTCATTGTATTGTGGTTCAGTAAGTTTGAACTGAAACAGTTCAGTGCAAAATGTCTGCAGCTGCTGTCACCTTTCTTCCACCCACTTATTAGCATTTTGATATTTCTTAGCATCCAGAGTCTTGGTAGATGTAGTGCCTGGCTTCTGCCCTTGTAGCTTCCAGGAAGTATTGGCAAGTTTCTGTAGTTCAATTTGGGTTTTTGTTTCAGATACTTCTGAAGAACAAAGAAATCGGTGCAATGGAACTTAACTTTCTGCTGCGATATCCTGCCCAAACAGGAGTCACCAGTCCAATAGATTTTTTGACAAATCAGTCATGGGGTGGCATCAAGGTAACTTGTATACTCCAAATATCTTTACTACTAGTGATTGTATTGAATATATAAGTATGTATCTATGTAGGTATATATGTGTGTATATATGTACATACACACATTTACTTTTCGTAACAGATCATTTCTGCTATTGAGCCATTTTTACACCCCAGTTGCTGGTGCTGGTTGTTGTTGTTTTTTTATCCTGCCCTTTTTTCATATACAACTTAAGGCAGCAAAAACACCAACACTCCTTCCTCTTCTTATTTTCCCCACAACAATAACCCTTTGAAATGAGGTGAGTGGAGAGAGAGTGGCTAGCCCAAAGTCACCAGCTGGTTTCTAGGCCCGCACCTTCACCACTACACCAAACGGCTTCCAGGTTGAGGTCAAATTATTAAAGCATGATGTGATTGAATGTAGATATTTTTTTTGCTACATTTACCATCCTTAGTGGGAGGAAAAGCATAATCAGTAAGGCTAACTAATCACAAGAGCTCAAGCTATCCTTCAGCAATAAACAAAGAACTGATTAAGTGAAGGAAGAATGAAGTAAAAAAGGTTAAAGCATAAATTGACAGTCCTGAGGAGGATCTCTTGTCTTGACCTGTAATACATTTGCTTTCTTGAATGAAAATGTCAAGGATTATGTGACTACTAATGGGTCTTACATTTTTTGGGAACCATTTAATTATAGTATCAGGTAATAAACTAATGGCCAATGTAATTTTTTAACAAGGAAGTTACATGCTTCTTATAGCTAACCTCTGCCTATCTGGCAGCACTACCTTTTAGCTAACATTCCTGAACATGTTTCAGGACCTGCCCCTGTAAAATGCTTTGCAATTGCCCAAATGATATATTAAGATGTCTTGTATGGTTGAAAATTATCAAATAATGGGGAAATCTGTACAATTAAAAAACAACAACCCAGGATTGTCACTATTTCTTATAGGCATGATGAAATATCTTCCTATTGTAAGAAGGCATAGTTAATGCAGGTTCTAGTTGATGTAACTTTGAATGCAATTGGGTAATTTTATCTGGAATTTGCTATAAAATAGTTGATAATGGGATATCAGGTAGAATAAAATACAGTAAGCTTCTGGTCTCTGAAGAGACTCAGTTGGGCAATTCTTGTCAGATGTAATAGTAACACGGAAGATCGATTTCTTCACAGCAATGGCCACTATGAGTTAGTATGTTTGCTAAACTTATTTGGAGTTTTCTACCAAAATTGCATTTGAAAACCAGAAAATTCATATGGTTGTACTTAGCAGGATAGGACCCAGGAACCACCGTGTCAATTATTTCTCGATTCCAGATGTCAAATAAATTTTCAGAAGAACTGCTAGCAAATTAATAAGGAAATCTGACCGGGAAGCCATTTCATTGTTTCCTTGCATGGATCAGCTTAATAATTTGTAACCACCCCCACAGAGACATCCCAATATGGTAAATCCAAAATATTGTAATCAAAGAGAATTACTTCATGCACCGATCAGAATTCTTCCATTGAAGAAAGCTGAATCCAGCATGTATACTATTGAATGAATGTAGCTAATCAAGAATTACAGGTAGTCCTTGACTTACAACCATTTGTTAAGTGACCAATCAAAATTACAACAGCCGTGAAAAAAGTGACTTATAACCAGTCCTCATACTTACAATCATTGCCGCATCACCACAATCATGTGATCACAATTGGGGTGCTTGACAACCAGCACGTATTTATGACAGTTGCAGTGTCCCAAGATCATATGATTTCTGATTTTGACCTTTCCAGCTGACTTATGACAAGCAAAGTCAATGGGGAAGCTAGATTTGCTTAATGGCTGCGTGTTCACTTAACACCTGCAGTGATTTGCTTAACAACCATGACAAAAAGGTCGCAAAATTGGGCGCAACTCACATAACAACAGCCTTACTTAGCAATGGAAATTCTGGTCCCAATTGTGGTTGTAAGTCAAGGACCACCTGTGTCTAGTGTCCATTATGGAGACCTTGAAGAGACCTCTGCTTGCCATGGTAGTCTTGAAGTCTTGATCCATTCATTGTAGGGTGACCTCTTCAGTAATGAAATCCTTGAAAACAACTACTAGGTAATTAGGAAGTGATGTTAGGCTATTTGCCAATGGAACATGGCCAAACATACATTCAGATGCTCATACACACTTAAAAATGCTATCTGACAGGACCTATGCCTGCTCTCTAGAATACATTCTCCCTGAGATTCTTATGGGCCTGACCCTGCTGGCTTCTTCTAAGTCTTATAGACCTGTGTATTCTTGGGGCTAGATATCAGATGAGCATGTTTTATGTGTGTATGCATGTGTTTGTTGAACTTTGGCTGTTGTATTTGAGCAACCAACACCTTTTCTAATAATGACCACCTCCTTCTTTCTCTGTCACCCCAGAAGTCTTCTCCCTATTTTCTTCTATTTCTGCATCACTTTATAAAACATTTCTTAGTTGCTAACAAGCAATCTCTGCCTTTTCTGATGAGGACTTATATCCCTGCCTCTTGTCTTGTGGACTTATAATACAGATGAACAGTACTGTCTTTTAAAACTTTGGATAACCAGATACCACAGCTTCCTTCCCCTCTCGTCCCTCTGACCTGTAATCTGCAATAAGAACAGGGCATTTTACAGATATATGGTCACATCAACAAATAGCCTTTCATATTTTAATAGTAAAGTAGGAATGGGTCAGTCCTTGCCCCCATGAAGATCTGCTGCAATATCAGCAAACTGTTTTGCAGTGTCCTCCATGAAAGAATAAAGTAGAAAAATGATCCATGAAAACTAAATTGGTCTCATACCACCAATCAGTTTTATAATACAAAATTCCTCACATGGTCTTTTAAGAAGAGAAGGAAATATTTTCCTGCTTCATCAACTTCAGGAAAGTGTTTGACTCTACCTAACAACTCAGGGTCGAGGCTTAAATTGTTAGAGAATGGAATTGGCAAAAAAAAGATGTGATCTCATCATATCTCTTATCCAATCCATCAAATGCTGGAATGGATTGGAAACAAAGGCAATCAAAGATAAGAGAAGTAAAAGTGGGAGAGTAGCTCAGATGGGTTCAGTTCAAACTATTCATCAGGGATTTTCTGACTTCTTAGAATAGTCATAAAATCCAGGGCTACCTTTGAATGGCTTGCAGACTGTGTTTATTTGCATATGACCTAGGCCTGCTGTTACCGGGTCAAGAAAGGCTAGGAATAAGTTTGCAGTTCTTTGAAAACTTCTGAAATATATAAGCTAGATTGAAATAAGGTTTGCTTTAGTCAAAACAATTTTAACTAAGCATTCTGTTATAAAAGAATTAAGTCCAAGCATGCTTTAAGTTGGATATATGCTGTTCTTTCTGGAAGTGTACCAGAAATCATCAAAGGGTCTTTAGGGAAACTTTATGTAGAAGGAGCAAGATGCCATTGGATTGTTTATCAAGAGAGATTCTGCCATCCTTATAGTCTAGAAGTAGGTAATATAATGCCCCCCCCCCCGGTTCCCTGACCTACACGATGTGTGTGTGTGTGTGTGTGTGTGTGTGTGTATGTGTGAGGGAGAGAGAGAGAGCGAGAGAGAGAGAGCCCGAAGGACAGATAGATAGACAGAAAGACAGACAGAGAGATAGGCAGGCAGACAGACAGACAGACAGACAGATGAAACTGATGAAATGCAAATCAAAGCATCATTCTCCCTTATCAAATTTAATAGGCCTGTCAAATGCCTCCAAGAGGTGCATTGCTTTGATTGGAGTTCTGATGAAGTGCCATTTGGATGTACTTTTACAGAGGGAAGCAGTGTCCCTGCTTCTAGCTGCTTAAGTCACCATGTTGGATTGAAGTGGCAATTTTGCTGGCCTTGCAACAGTGCATATTTTCCTTTGGAAGCAAATAGCCAGGCAAAGAAAACCTTAACAGAACTGACTTGATGGGAGCATGAGAGTAGAGAACTTTGCTTTTCTATGTTGGTGCTGAGTCCAATGAATTGGAACAGCTCTGAAAAACAAAGTTGTACCACTTGATACTGTACACCTTATTGTTTGGTGCCGTGTTTGCTATCACAAAGTCCCTATCACTTCATGCTCTCCAAATTCCAAATGTCCCCTGGCCAAAAAGGCTGCTTGCCCCCATTATAGACTATTTCTGCCTTTGGAAAAAAAGAAGATTTAACTTCCTAAATAATTATGGGAGATTCAAATAACTGAAGTTTTACAGTCCTGTACTTGCTTCTCTCTTCTGCAAGAAAAATGAAAAAATTATTGGAGAGAAGCCATAGACTTCTTCATTTTTCATGGAGAAATCTCAACAAAGATCTAATTCAAGTGCCATTTTTTCTGGGTGCCCCAAATAGGAAACTAAGATGTCCTTTTAGTAAGAAATGTACATAGTTTTAGAGAATGAGTTTCTGGTGGGGAAAAACCCCAATTGATTGTAAAAGGTGAAGAAATGACAAAATTGGCAAGAGGCTCTGATGTTGACTATTGGACTAAGAATAGGCAAGGAGAGAAGCAACCTAGAACTAAGGAGAAACTTCCTGACAGTTAGAACAATTAACCAGTGGAACAACCTGCCTCCAGAAGCAGTGAATGCTCCAACACTGGAAGTTTTTAAGAAGAGACTGGACAGCCATTTGTCTGAAATGGTATAGGGTTTCCTGCCTGAGCAGGGGGTTGGACTAGATGACCTACAAGATGCCTTCCAACTTTTTATTATTATTATTATTATTATTATTATTATTATTATTATTATTATTATTATTATTATTATTATTATTATAATAATAATAATAATAATAATAAACAAACGTTCAGAATTCAGTTACAGGATCTGGACAGCATAAGAGAAGTTGTATAACTGCATCACATCCCTTTTTACTCTGCCTGGGACTAATAGATATTAAACCTTCTTCGTAACTACATATACTATACTGCTATATTCATTAATAAAGTATTTTGAGTTAAATTACAGGTGAAGGAAAAAGTAGTTGAAATATGGTGCATGGTGCATAATATTTCAGCTCCTGCCAAGGTGTTCTGCTTTGATGAATTTGGGATGTATTGTTCTTTCTCTCTCTATACCCTTAAGGTTGTTTGTTTTAAACCTTATTTTTAAATGCTCACATCAAAAGAATAGTTTTGCTTATCCTAGCTACAGTATTGGGAAAAACAAACAACTCTCTTCCATTTAACATTGCTTCAGTCAAAACTATTCTGCATATTTAGATAGCTCTATCTTTGTTTTTAGTTCTTCTGTAGACAGTTTAAGAACATATACATGTAATATACATTATGCACTAGAACTAAGCTCAGGGCTTGTGATGCTAAAGTTCCCCCTTTTATTTACATGTTCACCATCATTGTAAAAATAAACAAAAGAAAAGTTGTAATTTTAGAAGTGCTTCAGAAGATGGTTGATTTCGTGGACACATCAATGCATTTTTCTTGACAATATTGCAGAAGTGGTTTGTTATTATTTTCTTCTGGAACGCTTTTTGGTTCCCCAGTGGATCCTAAACCCTGGCATTCTGTGGTGGTCATTTCTGCAAATCCTAGCTAGGCCTATTCCTTAATTTCCCAATCAAACTAAGATCAGTTAGGAAGCACTTTATTATGAGCTGAGTATGCCTGGATAGTAGGGATTATCTTCTTCTATCCTATCAAATCCAATCATCTCTGTCATTTTGCAGAAATGAAAAAGTTGCTGCAAAGGTATTATGTAATAAATGTAGGAAAGTAATTTTGCTTCAATGCTTCATGTATGCATGCTCACTGAACTTTGCTAATGCTTTCAGTTTTAAAAATGAAGCTTATATGATAAAACCTGCCTATAGCTTTATTGAGCAGCTACTGTAGGTTAAAAATATTAACATGGTAGAATGTCAGAGTCATAATTTAATCTTTCCATTTTGTTGCTTTGATTCTTTGAAGAATTTTTCTGATATAATGCACTGATTATGGATTTCCTGACCTTTATCTGTTCTTTGCTACCTCCCCCCCCCCGCACAAGCATTGTTAGGGACAGTTTTGAGTGGAGGACTACTAGGCAGTATCCCAGCTACATAAAATAATCATGGCATTTCATTAGAAGGGAATGCAGGTGCCACGATGGGTAAATTAATACAACCCCAGATTCATGCAAAGATACCTGCAGCTTCTTCTTTTTCTCTCTCTCTGTATGGTTTTATGGTGAAAGTAAATTGGCCACTCGGTATGAAAACTCTTGAAATATTCTCTATGCGGCTCAGAATAAGGAGAATTTGGACCTTATGATTAAACAGCTGGAGGTCAGAAAATGAAAGATTAGATTTCTTTTCCTAAATGGCATTCCCATTTAAGATTCCTTTTGGGAATACCATTAGAGTCTGTTTTTTTTTCTTCTCTAAAGTTTTTAGTTTGTTTGAATAAAAATTAAGTTCAATGAATGGGAATGGATATAGCTGAATAACCCATCTGTCCGTTTCCTCTCTTAGCCCAAGCAACAATGGAAGCAGAAGGAAAAGAAAGTATTAAGCTTTTATAACTTCTTTGAACACAGGAACATTCAAGTAACACAAAATAAAACTGAAGGGGGGCGTAGGAAAGAAAGGACTCTAGCAGAGAGAAAAGTACGGTAGTTCCCTTATAGGCCAGGATCCACATTTATAGCAGACCTGCAATGTATATGATATTAAAAGCAAACTTTCATGGTGGGATATTTTACATGAAAACATTGTAAACATTTTTGCTGATCTGGGACTGGGTGCAGCTGTTGTATTTAAATATTTTATTTGAAAACTTTACACACACACAATGGTTTCTTGGGAACTGTTCAGAAAAAAGAGATGTTACCATATATTCTTTGACTTGCCTTAATGATATAATTATACTTTAATTTTAACTACTTGATTTAGGTGTTGCCTGAGTACAGAATGATTCTGGGTAGCTCTCCGTGTGATAAAGACAATAAAATACAATACAAGTCAAAAAGAGAAAACCAACAAAAACATTTTTTATTTATCGTATGGCACATTCACATCACATTTCAATAAAAACACAAGAGATAAAAATACAAAACATGAAGTATAAAATCTAAAATATTATAAACATATGTCTAGATGACAGATATAATTTTTTGCTTCCATTTGTCACAGCCAGGAAATCAGCAAAGTCTCCATTATAGGCTCTGATTTGGCACTCTGACACTATATGTTGAATAGTTTGTTTCCCGGCCCTGCAGTCACAATTCGGTGATGGTATTTTATCCCATTTATAGAGGGCATCTGTACATCTACTGTGGCCAGTGCGAAGTCAGTTCAGCATTGTCCATATTGCACGGGGCTGGTCAAATCCAGGTGATTTTTTCAAGGTAAAAGACAAACTTCGACAAGAATAGCTGAAGATTATTGATAACTTCCAGCTGCCAATATTGAGCGACGTAGCCTGCCTGGAGCGAAACAAGTTGAAATCTAGACATCCAGCCATTTATAGCACCTATAGTACTTGTAGAAGATGATTTTAACATACACAATATGTGGAAACAACATTGGATAGAAAATTGCCCCCCAACTAAAAGGAGGCCTGGAGATTAAAACATATGAAGAACGGCTGCGGGACTTGGGTTTGGCTAATCTAAAGAAAAGAAGAAATAGGGTGACATGATAACAGTATTTCAGTATTTGAGGGGCCGCCACAAAGAAGAGGACATCAAACTATTCTCCAAAGCACCAGAGGGCAGGACAAGAAACAATGGTTGGAAACTGATCAGAGAGAAATTTCCTGACAGTGAGGACAATTAACCAGTGGAACAGCTTAACTTCAGAAATCGTGGGCGCTCCATCGCTGGAGATTTTTAAGAAGAGGCTAGACAGTCACTTGCCTGAAATGGTATAGGTTCTCCTGCTTGAGCGGAGGGCTGGACTAGAAGACCTCCAAGGTCTCTTCCAGCTTGTATTGTAATTCTATTCTATTCTATTCTATTCTATTCTATTCTATTCTATTCTATTCTATTCTATTCTAAATAAGATAAGAAGAAAAAAAGGCAAATCTAGCCAGCAACATGAGAAACGTATATCAGCAAAACTCATAAGGGTTCCAGCCATCCTAACCCAGTGCCCAGGACAACAGCCAAATTGTTAAGGCCCTCTGGAGTGCTATCAGGGTGGGAGTTACCCAGATCTGAAAGGGATCTTTATTGTAGATAACAGGTGCCATAACAGAGAACACCTCTTGGGTTCCAAAAAAATTGCTTAATTGAAGGGACCCGAAGCATGCCAACACTGTTGGCTTGTGCTGGTTGGGCAGACATCACAAGAAACAGGTGGCCTATCAGGTAACCATGCCTCATGTCATGAAGAATTTTACAATCAGCACTTTGAATTGTACCCAGAAGTAAACCAGTAGCCATTACAGCTTGCAGAGCATGCTCATCATTGTCCATGCCGCTGCATTCTGACCTGTTGAAGCTTGTGAATGTTTTTCAAGGGCAGCCCCATGTAGAATGCACTGCAGTAGCTGTATTATAAAGTAATCAGAGAATGAATGACTGTCTGAAGAGCCTCCCGATCCAGGAAAGGGCATAACTGGCACGTTAGATAAAGCTGTGTGAAGTTCTTCTTGACCATAGTTACCACCTGCTCATCAAGCAGGAGCTATGAGTTCAAATAATCTGTCTTCTCTAGTGTTCTCAACTGCATACTGATCACCTTTTCAACAATGTTCCCTAAAAAGGGAAGGTTGGAGAAAGGATGATAATTATTCAGGATTGTTGGTTCAAGAATGGCCTCTTGAGAAAGGGGCCTACCTCTGTTTCTTTCAATATTTTGTTTCCATGTTTTCATTGTATTTGCCAATGGTTAATTTGAAGAATAAATTTGTAATGAAGTTATTTGAAAGACGTGTTGATGTTCTGAGAAATTTGCATGGATGTCCCTAAAATTTGGATGATTAAAACCAAACAGTTCTGAAATCTACATATCCCATCTTTGCAACAAAAGAAAAAAGTTACAAAATGCTTTTAAGTATTTGGTACTGTGATGTTCAGCAGTCTTGAGTCTTGAATTTCCAGCAGCTGTTTCTTTTTTATTGGTTTCAGAAACCATTGGGTGACCATTTTTCTTTTTTTCCAGGCCCTGTCATCCATGGAACAATTTCGGAACCTTGACCGTGACATTGAAGGGTCTGCCAAGCGTTGGAAGAAGTTAGTGGAATCTGAATGCCCTGAAAAGGAGAGGTTTCCTCAGGAATGGAAGAATAAGTCAGCTTTGCAGCATCTGTGTATGATGAGAGCACTAAGACCTGACCGTATGACTTATGCTGTCCGGTGAGTTCATAAAATTCTGAGCCATGCCTTAGTCAACAGAGTGAAACTCTAAGCTTCTGATGCTAAGTATCCAAGAAATGCCAGATGAGTCATCTCTTGTCCTTCTAGAATCCCATTTCTGGCTTACAGTGAATCATTTTTAATTGTGCGTTGTGATTATCTCCTCATTTTTGTCTTTAATCAGAATAGATTTAATAATGTCCATTTACTCGTTACTATTTTCAGGTTTGATTGTCTGAATAGGATGCAAGTAACACACAATTTATTGACATGATCTAGTTGAAGCCTGGCACTCTACAAGCAATTCCATCAACAGACACATTGACCTACAACCAGCCTATGAACCCCTCAGAATCCAAATCAACCACACAGCTAACCAGAGACAGCAACGACCCTCAACCAACCCATGTAGGCCCCCCCTCCCGCCAACAGTTCACCTCCCAATGACCCCGATCTGATGTAACCTCCCCATCACAAGACCCATCATTAGACCCTCACTGAAGACTCACACTTGACCCATTACAAGAGCCATTACAAGACCCTCACTTGATACACCCACACCTGATCCATCACAAGACCCTTACTTGACATACCAATGTTGAGCAACACTGATACAGACAAATATCAGAATGTTGTTAGGAAGCGGAGCAGTGGCTGGAATCTGGAAAAGGGAGCATCTATCTTACGGTATCCTTGCAGATTCCACTTGTAGGAGAGGACTCATCAGAGAATTCCAAACTTCTTTCCTTTTGGATTATAAATTCTGCAGAAATGGAAAACCTCGCTCCAATAAAATATATATAAACCTGACATTTTGTTAACATGAGCTTCTCTTCAACCATTTAATTAAATCATAACAATTACTTCAAAGTTATTATTATTATTATTATTATTATAATTTAATTTATATACCGCCCTTCTCCCGCAGGACTCAGGGCGGTGCACAGCGTATTAAAAACAGTACAAATACAAAACATAAAAATAGAAACCCCTATAAAACCAGATTTCCTCCCCATGTTATATCTACTGTTTTGCATTTTGTAAGGTTTTTGAATTGTCCCAGGGGCATTTCATGTAAGTCAAGCATCAGCTTAAAAAAAAACCCAGTTTAAACAATCGTAATAGTTACTGGGTTATCCTGTGCAATCCTCCTCGCACAATCCTGGCTTATTGCAAAATGAAACTGCTTTTACAGAAAGGTTTCCTTTACATCTTCTCATTATTGCCTTTCTACAATAATTTCTGCTATTAAAAATGCTAGCAAGGAAAAGAATAGCCCGTCTTGGCATCTTCACGACAAGCAGATTTCTACGTTCTTGCACATCCGAGGGCAAGACATCTACCTTCTACCTCTCAAATGTTAAAAATAAACTATTCTGGCACAAGCAAGCTCTATAATTTATTGTAACATTTTTGTCTGTTATTTCTCTGAGGTTCTGTGAAAAAATAGGGCTTGTAGCATTATTCATCCCTACAGGAAAAAAAACAAATAAATAAGTAATAATACCAAGAAGCCAATTGTTGTTGACTGGTTATAAGTTATTTAATAAAACAGGCTTAGCAATATACAGGCAGGCACACAACAATGGTATGAGTGCTTTGAGAAAAGCGAAATGTTGCTCCACCAGGATTTCTTTATTGTTTAACACAGTGCTTCCAGAATCTTTTTCTTCATTGCCCAAAACCAATTATCAGAAGATCCTTATTTAAACGTCCCTGTTGTGATTGAGTGATGGGTTCATGAGTTGTTACCAGAAGAAAAACGACCTTTACCCATTTTGGGTAACTTCACCAAGTTTGGGAAACACTGATTTAGTCATCGGTTGGATATCTGATTATGTCTCTGGACTCAAAGGTTCTAATTTAATGTTCAGCAGCTGCAGGATTATTGTAGAAAAACAATTCCATATTCATGAATTAAAGAATCACAAAATTTGGAAAATCCACCATTCAGCCTTTCTCACTAGGAAGGAATATCTGATGGTCTGCCCAGCCTTTTCTTCAAAACCATTTTGAACGCATCTAATGTAGTGGATTTATCAGTGGGTTCCCAACTTTGACATCTGCAGTAAAAGAACTATTATCCTCCAATTATCCTAGCAAGGATATATTTTGTGAAGACCCAGCTCTCTGGAGAAGGGTATAATGCTGGGAAAGGTGGAAGGAAAGAGGAGAAAAAGATAACTAGCAGTAAGGTGGATGGAGCAAGTTACAGTGGCAATGAGTGCACCCTTGGGAGTCTTGAAAGCATAGGTTGGAATAGATTATTACAGAGAAAACCTATGTGGTCATTAGGAGTCAAAAATGACAGGACATAATCAATCAATCAGTCAACCAACCAACCAACCAATCAATCAACCAATCAATCAATCAATCAACACCTCTCTGTAGAAGTGTAAACTATTGGAAACCCAGATTACAGAGAGCTCCTTCTGGAGAAATTCTGTTAAAGTGATTGTCCCAAAGGTGCTTTTTCAAGAGACAACTGCACTTTCTTGTTTTTCTTTGAAGACGTTTCACTTCTCATCCAAAAAGCTTCTTTAGCTCTGACTGGATGGTGGGAATGGAAGGGTTGCAGGCAGCTGGTCATTTGCATTCTTTTGCATTCTGTCTGCAAGGAATATAAATCCTGCCATTCCCCACCGTCCAGTCACAGCTGAAGAAGCTTCTTGGATGAGAAGTTGAAACGTCTTCAAAGAAAAAACAAGAAAGTCTAGTGGCCTCCTGAAAAAGTGCCTTTGGGACAACCATGACCTGGATGATTAAGAATCTCCATAGATGTTAATGCGGTTGCTATGAGTCAACACTAACTGGATGGCACATAGTCAAACAAGCGATTTATTTAGTAGCTCCACAGGTACTGCACAGATGATGTAGTAGAAAAAGCAAACAACAGAGGGTGGTTTTCTGACAATGGTGCTCAGGAAGGGAGTGGACCTAGGAAGATGCATATACTGTATTGGTATTCCTTTTTAACATATTTTTTAAATATGGCCTGTATGTAAATACACAAGTTGATTCCTGAGAAAAGTTAGATTTTATAGCAATAGCAATAGCTGTCTTTTTCTAAATCATGACTAAGAAGAATGATGGTATATTGCGTATAAGACTAGATAACAAATATATTGCCGTATAAGCTTGTTCTTTACCATTTCTTCCCTTAGTCTGATGGTTCTCCATCCCATTCTAAAGTTTCAGTATCTTGCATTCAATGCATCTAAAGTTTTAATAGTTTTAATCATTTGGGTAGTTTGTAGCAATAAGCAATAACATTGGTATCACAGTATTGGCAACCTTAAGACCTCTTATTAAAAGCATAAATATTTCTTGTTTAAAATGCATTCCCATTGTTTTCATAAGACGGATAAAGTAGATCTTATTGCAATCTTGAGCTTTCTGAAAATCTAACCTTTCTCAAGGGCAGAGCATATGATTGGTCAAAGCAATGCTTAAGAACAAAGCCATTCACTTCTCTCTCTGGGACCTCAAGTCAATATTCTCTTTCAGTATTGCCAGCTGGCATATTAGGTGAATAAGCTGACAGTTCTTCCACATCTTACTTTTTTTTTCTGGTATTGGATTTGGGAGGTGGGAATATTGAGTCTTCAGTCTAGGATAAGTAATTCTCACATCTTACAGTAAATTGTTTCCTTAATTTAGTAAACACATTGTAATTGCCACATATAATCCTTTAGCATTCTATTCCAACAGGGATTTTGTGGAAGAAAAGCTTGGGAGCAAATATGTGGCGGGACGATCTCTGGATTTCGCAACATCGTATGAAGAGTCAGGACCTGAGACCCCTATGTTCTTTATCCTCTCACCTGGAGTGGATCCCTTGAAAGATGTAGAAAAACATGGTAAATACAATACATCAGAAGCCAAATGACATTACTGCATATGAACTTGCTTTATCAAAAACAAACAAATAAAATCCCCTTTCTTTGATTCTAGGGAGAGGCATTTGTTTTTCAATTTAGCCACACTGCCATAAAACCCATCATCTTATAATTTATTTATTTACACCTCCATTTTTTTGTCCCTTCCACTCAAACACCTGGCACAGCAGTCCTATTTTCACATCTGACTATTGAATTGTGTCTAGCAGCGCAAAATGCCTGATGCAGCCTCTGTTTTGATTGGCTTTGAGAAGACCACTGATAACAGATATCTACATAAAGTAATTGTGTTGGGAACTCCTGAGACTGAGTGAATAATCCCAAACCTTTCCTGATCCTAAGAGTCTGAGATACGGATGGATAAGATTTCCTAGTATGAGGTTTGCTATGTGGTTATGATGAAAGAGTTGAGACCTGAATGTAAGGATATGCAAAAGGATGAATTGAAGAGCTGCAAAATGTAGGCTGAGATAGGCTATACCCACCTGGAATTCAGTTTGATCCAGTATGCACAATCATATGTTTACCCAATTCCTATGAAAGACATGACACCGAGAAACTTACTGGATTCTGACTCAATGCAAAAGCAGTGTGTTTGTATGCAAGCCACATTATCAAAAAGATCAGGAAGCTTTTGAGGTTAGCATCCATTGTGTAGAATTGGCAAATGGATTTTTATTTGCAGACCCTGTGGGTCATGATAATCCATTAATATGCAACACACAAGAAGAGTTACAGCCTTCCCTTTGTTGTTTGTTGAACTCACAACTTGTACGTCTGAAAATAATCACAGTTTTTATGTCAACCACTGATGTTGGCATGCTGTCTTAGATGGGAGTATATGCCAATCAGAGCACTCAGGATACAGATGCATCATAAATCCTTGCAGTTGTATATTACAGATGTGTGAAAGAATGCTATGGCTTATTCCCATATTTTCTCTTTGGACCAATATAGAACCAGATGTCAGAATCTGGTTTTGATGTGTGATTTGTTTGTCCAATTGCAGTAAAGAGCTTTTTGTTATTTTAATCAGAAGGATCTAATGCACATCTGATTGCACCGCATCTCCTAAGAGCATGAGTGTAAATAGAGAAAAGATAATTAGAAATGTCTGCAGTAGTTGCTCACAGAAAGGTGTTAATTCCTCACCTGTACAGAACATTGTTTTTCTTACCTTTGTAGCAATTCTGAATTGTCAGTAGCAAAAAACCTAAAAACATCTTGGGTTGTTCTAAATCTAAACTCTCTTGTACCTCTTCATTCCACCTAAGAGTTTGCTCATATTGCATTAAACTTGGATTCAAGTTGCTCTCCATTTGACCCATAGCAAGTTGAAGCATCATTGGAGCATTGAACAAAAGGCAGATCCACATTTTCTGCTTGGCTTCCAATTCCAGCCCACTGCAAACGCATCAGCATCGGTGTCTTCCAGTTTTGATCCAAAACTACTGTGTTCTGATCCAAGCTCTCTTAAACCCTTCAGGTGGATGGCCTCTGTGGCATTTTGGTAGCAACCCCAGATCCAATTGGCTGTGGTGCTTGGTATACCTTTTCCCTCCAATGGCTGGTCACCGTGGGCCAACAATTAACAACTTTTTTTAAAAAAAATATAACCTTACATATATCTTTTAAAAAAGAACATGATCTCTGTGCTTTTTTTTTATCCCTTCCCTTCCCAACCCTCCCATCATTTTTCTACAGTATATCCTTACTGGAAAGTTGTCATTATCTTACAAAGGAATTCAGGAGCAAAAGAGCTTCCCATTTCTTGTTCCTTGAATTACTGTAGCATCAGAGCAACAATTGCACAGTAAGCGGAGGAAAAAAAGTAAACAAATAGTCTGTGCAATATAAAAGGAGATACTGTGGGAATTGGGGTGGGAAGGCATCTATGTGCAAGTATCTGGGAAAACAAAGGAAAGGCAAAGAGATTTGTGAGGATGGAACAGTCCTTAAAGGCAGGCCCTGTTAGACCAGACTACCTGGGAGTCATCTAAAGAGGCTCGCCTTTTTTTGCATGGATGGGAGGAGCAAGAAGCAAGGGGAATAACCATTCAGGCCCCATTGCCAGCTCACAGCAATTTGGATTGGAATTACTGAAGTTGCCTTAAGAAACAGCCAGCAGCATCATGGGAGATAATCATCTTAGGGTGTAGTGCAATATTGTTCCCAAACACCGTCACAATCTATGAAGATATAAAGTACTATTTGCAGCAGTGCACTTGGGGAATTAAACAGCAGATTTGGCCATGAGGCTTAGTGATGAGACTTTAGATAGGAAGAGAAATGGGAGAGGATTAACACCCACACAGCCATATTTGTTGTGCATTGCAGTCCCTATTTAAGGCTGCAAAGCTAATCAAGATAGTAGATCTGGTACAAAGCTAAATCTGTGGCTACTATTCTACTGTGAGTTGCTGGCATTGTTTTTTTTTTCTGGACTGAAGTGCTTACTTTCTCCTTTCAGGAAAGAAACTTGGCTACACATTTAACAACCGGAATCTCCATAATGTCTCACTGGGGCAAGGTCAAGAGATAGTAGCAGAACAAGCCCTCGACCTGGCAGCAGCAGAAGGACACTGGGTTATCTTGCAGGTCTGTGTTCTCTTTTGGTTTGGGAGAAGAGGTCTCTTGCCTGCCTTCAAGCCATCTGTTATCCAGACAGGTGAAACACAGGAGCAAATCTCCCAGTCTTCCGCTGCCTAGAACTCTGTAGAAATACCGGCCTGTGTGACCATTATGTTGGTGGCTAAGAATAATGGAGTCTGCAGACTAAAAAAGCCATCTGCATTGTGCTGTCTTGGGAATGGCTACTGTACATTTAGTTTTTACATCAGTACATTTAGTTTGCAAATTGGTGTAATGGCTAACTTCTTCAGAAAGGCTCAATAACCCATGGAAACAAAGCCATTGGTTGAACTCTCCTTTTCCTGCTGTGGCCTTGAGAAGGATTTGAAGGTTTATATATTCTTCGTTCCAAAATGACAAGTGGGATTCCTACCCACCCTCATTGCTGAATGTAAAATTCACATTTTAATGACTGACATAACTAAGTATACCATTTTTTATTATGTATATGTTTGCGTGTGTGCATGTGAATGTGTGTGTGTGTATAGGAAAATATATCAACATGAGTTTCAATTCTTCATCAAGAAAAGTTGAATTTAGCTGTGCATGTTCTGCATATTTTTCATTTTTCTGGCATCTGCCTGTGTGAGGTGTACCCTGAAGCTGTGCCCTCTGATCCTGTCACCATTTATTGTTTTGGCATATCACAAGGCATGATTCACTGCAACTTACTTTTATAATTTTAAGGTACAGAAATTAACTTCAAAGAAAATGTGGGGGGAAAAAAATGCTCAGGAAGTTGAATTCTTTGCCCGGGCATAGCTGTCTTTAGAGACTGAACTTGGCTCTAGTTCTCAGCCAAGGGAGAAGGGAAGAGATTGTGATGAGAGCATTTCAGCTTTGAGAATGAGGATGGCACCGAGCCATACAATTGCTTATATGTTGGCTCTTTTTATTTAATCATGCAAATATGGCTCATTTAAATGGGGGTGGATTGATGAGTGGGTGAGAATTTCAGTGGTTCCATGAAATATTAAAGCCATGTCAACTATGTACATATTTTCATTTTTTCATTAATCAGGCACTCAGGTTTAAGGAAATCCACCAATCCCGAGGTACCTAATCTTTGCTGTTTTTGATACACTTTCCAGAGTATGTTTCTCTTCCAGCCCAGAGGACTGAGGGGATATAGTAAATGAGATGGAAAGGCCCCTTCTACTGCAGTTCATGGTGGATTTAAACCTTGAAGATCAAGATTGTGGATTTATTTCAAAAATTATTCTGGGTTGACTTACTATTATCTTAATATAGGAGACAAGATAAATGCAGTCCTAGGATCTGTGAAGCGTTCTGAAATGATTACTTTCTTTCTTCCCTTGGGACCTTCTTCCTGCTTCTTGAATTTTAAAGTGTTGACTGCTATTTCTTTTTGTAAAACTGCCTTGGTTCTTGGGTTTTCCTGGGAAACATCAAGCCAAGAAGAACAACGAATATGTGCCACTTAGAAGCACTCAGATGTTCATCTCCATATTGTTTCTGGAAAATGCTTAAGGAAAGATATTTTTCCAGTTCAGTCACATCATAGATTTTTCCTCTCTTGAAATTTCTTTTGTAACTTCTAGTAGGAAAGGAAGCGGAGAATGTGTGCGTCCACCACAATATAATATTGAGTACAATTTCCTTTTCCAAGCACTTCTGGTTGGAAGAAGCAATGCCAGAAATGGGAAGGGAACCTTTCCTTGAAAGCCCACCCACTGACGTTATCTGGCTCATTAGTAGAGACTAAAGGTTTATAGTGCCATTCCCCTTTGCTGATGTGCACAGTCATTTTCTATTTGCCTCTCCTTAGTTTGACAGGAAAGGGAGCTTTCTGAGCCTGGAACTTAATTTATTTCATACCATCCAGAATGCATCCTATTGATAATCTTAATTTAAGGCTTAGAATCATATCTGAATTTGTGAAATGCTCTTTTCTGTGACATAACTGGGCCTACAGAATGATCCTGAGAATAGTTTTAATATGTCCTTCCTGACTTGAAAGTCTTTTCCTTTAATCTTTTAAGAGATACAAACTGCATTGTCTGAGTAATCAGCACATATAGTATATATCCCATAACTTCCACCCAAAATATAGTAGATGGTAGGTTACTTGGCAATATAAAGCTGTGAAACTACTTAGGTTGTGTCTTCTGGAAGTGTAGGAATTATAACTCCCAGAATTATTTCCAGTGAGGGAAACAGTTTAAGAAAATATTGCCTTATACTTCTGCACAAGCAGAGCCTCACATTTTGTAACAAGATTGGATTTTCATTCATATTATTATTCCATAATAGTTTTGTTGCAGCAATATTTGTTCTGGTCTGTATTTCTGTGACTTTCTTCAGCACCTCATGCAAAGGGCCTGGAGACAGATAGCAAGCTGTTTCTGTTTGAGGTTTTGTATTGTGATGAAACTGATGACATGTTTGTCAGTGGTCCTAAATTTTCTTTTCTTTCTTTAAATCCTGTTCCCTGTCCTAGTTTGTGAACTACATCTTTGTCTGAAAGCCAGAATTTGGGGGGAAAGAATCTAGGCACTACAGTAGCTTCTCTTAACCATAGTCTTTGCTTATTAATCAGAATGCCATCATCTTCCTTCCACAATTGACTTAACAAAATTCCTATGTGCTGTCCCATTTTCATATATTAATGTGGTACTGAATTTGGTTCATGTACTAAATTAAATCACAAGGAACTGCTCAACCATAGCAATGCACTGATCAAAAGATCTGGCAGAAATTTCCCTGTTGCATGTTAAATAATTGGTTGACTTGTTAAGCATTAAGAAGTGGAAGGCTTGTTTGAGTAAGGAACCAACGAAACCACTTTAAACCTTGAATTCTTTGCCAACCAAATTTGCATCCCAGAATTTCCAGACTATGTATAAATTGGGCGCATTTAAGCGGACACGATCATTTTGTATGTCTTTTGCTTTTGCCAGCCATCAGAGTAGAAATAGTACACCATGCTTCTGACTCTTCTTTAGGCACCACCCTCTAAGGATAACTTTACAGCCCTGAAGAGGTTTTAAGAAACAAAATAGGGTAACTTAGTATTCTTTTGCCATTAGAAACCTCTGCACGCTATCATCCTAACATAAATAAACCTCACTGTATGCCTTCTGGCATGAGTACCCTACAGTATATATTTTGCCCGCCACTAGAATAAAATGCACTTGGGCACTCTGCAGAGATGCTTTCTTTCCATTCAGAAAACACCTTACGTGATGCAATGGAAATATAAATAGAAAACAGAACTGTTTGGGAGAAATTTGCACTGTTTGTTTTTTTTTACCTCTTAAGAGTGATAGTCCATTTGCTGCACTGGAAAACTCCTCATCTTTCAAATCTAGCACGAGGCAAGGCTATTTTTTTTATTTATGTGCACAACCCACACCCAGTGTGTATCAAGGGATTTGGGGATCCTTTTTTGAGGAGCAGATTTTGGAATTGTTGAAATGCACAGAAAAGTAAGGGTTAATGCTCCCCTCTCAACTGATATCTGAAACAGGTATATGGCATCTTAGGAAACAGTTTCCATTTTCATTTATAGAGGCTTTTATTGGGGCTTTTACTTATGTAGTGTTTATTTGAATGGGAGGGGAGCAACTGCCCAGTGGGGATACTATAGCATGGATCTTCTAGTGCTCTTCTATTCCCTTAGAATAATCAGTAAAATGAAAAATATACAGCTGATTGTTAGTGATTACTTTGCAAATATAAGCCCAGACAACACGCTGTTTACCAAATATTAAGGTGTTTATGTTAAAAATCAATAAAATATTTTTTTTTAAAAAAAAGAAAAATATACAGCTAAGACAGGGGCATGCAATTATTTTTGGTCGGATCTGCAGTTTTAAAATTATTATTTTATTAGCTGAGAGCTGACGAGAGTCTTTTTGACCTATTTTCCCCTATTTGAATGAAGACTGAGGGAATTTTACTTACAGCAGCTGCTTGGAAGCTTAGCATACTTATTTTTCTTAACCCACCAATGTATTTTGGAGAATTCTGAGGGGGGGGGAAGACTGCAAAAAAGAGGCCTGGAAGCTCATGGGTTTGGGGTACCTAATCCCCTAAAGATGTAAGTGTATATGTGCCATTCCTTTGGCTGAAAGACACCCACCATAAACCACACTAGCATAACATTTATTGCTCAGAGGTGTCAGGCTGATTCCATCCCCTGGCACCGAAAGAATAGTCAGAAAAGTGTCTGAGGTTGTACCCACAATAAATTCCAATGGCTTGCTGCCTGCTGAAGAGGTAAAACATTACTTTAACCCTGAAACACCCAAGGACAACTTAAAGCTGCTTCAGGTGTATATTGGGGAAAAGGTGGAAGTCAAAGTCACATTAATACAAGAGGAAGGGCATATTTATGCCATAGTTAGATCCAAGAAGGGAAGGTCTCCCCCATAACAGAAGAAAGCTGGTGGATAGGGGGTACCTTGCTCAATAGTAGTAACTGTGAGAGGGATCTTGGAGTCCTAGTGGAAAATCACTTAAATATGAGCCAGCAGTGTGCTGCAGCTGTCAAAAAAGCCAACACAGTGCTGGGCTGCATTAACAGAGGGATAGAATCAAGATCACGTGAAGTATTAATACCACTTTACAATGCCTTGGTAAGGCCACACTTAGAATACTGCATCCAGTTTTGGTCCCCACGATGTAAGAAAGATGTTGAGACTCTAGAAAGAGTACAGAGAAGAGCAACAAAGATGATTAGGGGACTGGAGGCTAAAACATATAAGGAACGGCTGCTGAAATTGGGTATGTCTAGTTTAATGAAAAGAAGGACGAGGGGGGGACATGATAGCAGTATTCCTATATCTCAGGGGTTGCCACAAAGAAGAGGGAGTCAAGCTATTTTCCAAAGCGCCTGAACGCAAGACAAGAAGCAACCGATGGAAACTCATCAAGGAGAGAAGCAACCTAGAACTAAGTAGAAACTTCCTGACAGTTAGAACAATTAACCAGTGGAACAACCT